CTAGGGAAGAAGTGTGTATAAAAACTAGAGTTTGATTACATAGTGCATAATCAATCTTTCTCTTAGCCTCCAATATTCTTAATCTCCTGTCATTTAAGATTTACCTACATCAGTAAACGGGCAATCAGAATGAAAGAGATATTAGCCAGAGGAGCTTATTCGCATTGCGACGTTTTAAAGTATCACCTGAATTTTTTTTTTTTTTTCTTTAAGAGATTTATATTGAATATCGGAAATTTCAGGGAACTTCAAAAGAAAATTTGCAACACTCTTGAGTAAATGAGTACCTAAATAAATTTTTAAATAAAACATTGCAGCATTGCAATGTCACACCTATCGAGCCGACCATTATTTTTTTTCGAAAATGTTGGAGAATATTTTTCCGCACTGTGGAACAAATGGAGTCAGAGTTTTCACAGTGCACACTCACGTATTTTAGACAACGTACTTATTTACTCATTAAACGCAGCGTCTCAAAACCAGCCCGAACAAAGGGCCTCCTTCATTGTTTCCTACCAATCCGTGCGGCAACTATTTTAACTCGACCGTCGCGGGGTTGCATACCCACCGTTTTGGAGGCGATTTGCGTCACTTGAGCGCGGGCCCTAAAATGATTTCTGCTAATTGAGGATTGCGTGTGATTCATTCTATCATTTTACCTCAGATGATTTGCCGATTTGCTTTCGATGCTTCACATTCCCTACACAGCAACGTCTATGCATGTCAAGCGATCAATTTTCAAAAGAAATTAATGAAAGCATGAAAGAGAAACAAAGCTGAATGCCGTCAAAAAATTGTGCATTTACCGTGATCCAGCTCATGTCCTCATTTGTGCTTGTAGCCGTCTGTGTCTCTCGGGTGAGGAGAACCGTGCTTGGATTCAACTTACTTCAAATTCAAATATTTACCCAAAAAATTCAGATTTTCTTTGTTTGAGGCTTCATTACCCTTTCAAAACGGTCCCACGGGAGTATAAAGAACGGTCCCCATGAGGATAGACAATCAAGAACCGAGGTCTCGTTCCCTTACAGGTTACTCTGTCTGCACCATGACTTCCTGTCGACCTATTGATTCACCTTGGGACCAAAAAGTGACTTACCCATCCTATGAGGTCCAATGGGTCCCCATGAAATCCCCATGGGGGCCTATTAGGATCTCATTGGACCCCATGGGACTGTTTGGACAGGGAGTTGGACTACATTTTGCGCGAGGAAATATTATTTCTGACTCGTTACGAAAGTACCTATCTACATCTATTTACAGAAGCTAACAACACAGACTTTATTCATAAAATGAGCCAGGAATGGTAGCTGCTTTGTTAAAAAAAAGAAAAATTGAAATCCAGAACCCTACAATCTTACTAGAATTGGTTGGCATTTCATGTTTTAGAAAAATGGATAGCTTCCTCCAAAAGTGTCCAACTACAGATGGGAGGACAAAATAATTATAAGCATAAAAAAAATTTATTAAAAAAACAACTTTATTCGACCGAAGATTTTCGGTGAATGGGAAATGTTTTCGGTGCATGTATTTAAGTTTCTAAAAACAGCCTTGTGTCCAAAAATGTGACCTTTTTTTAAGGGATTTTCTGATGCAGTAAAAAAAATTTCAATTTTTAAATTTGGGGTTGACGATTTTCGAAATAAACGAAATTTGGGTCTACCCTTTCAATGCATAATGAAAAAAACTATTATGCATAAGTATGCGCGTGATCTTAAAAACAATGTTTCCCTTACAAAACGGAATTTTCCATTTTTCCGCATGGAGCGCAGTTTTCAAATTAAAATATTTGAATACGACCCTCAACATCAGCCTGGCAAGGAAAAATTAAAAGAGGGGGGACTGAAAAGTAATTTAGTTAATGCCTCCAATTCGAGATGCGAAGTTCACGGCGGAGGGACGGAGGGGTGGAAGTTGGGTGGGTGGGTCAGCATTTATAAAACTGAGGAAGAAAATTAGATTTGTCGTTGATTAAAATATAGGTCGAGATCCGGCATGAGAGCTGGACCAGGACAGAGGGTGCATTGCGCGCGCAGGGATCTTCTCGCTCTCATCCCTCCGTCCACCCTCCGATACTCTCGCCCTCTGTCCCAATCTCAAGTGCAGGTTTCATGAGTAAATAGAGCTACGAGAAAGGGTAACAAGGGGGAACAGATCTGCGGCACTTCATACATCTGCAGTGCGCGCCTAGATAGGGATGCCCCGGTTAAAATGAAGTGGCCGCCAGCATTCCCACTCTCTACACGCCTTCAGCAGTTTTTATTACAAAAAAGAATAAACATTCCATTTTCCATGTAACTACCAGTGCAATAAATTAGTTAATTTTTTTTATAAAAAGATAATTCCGGTTCATTAATTTTTTGTAGATTCTATTAGTCATTATGTTAATTTACAAATTTCGAAAGCAATAAAGATAGATTGTATTAGAAGGCTAATTCGAAGTGAGCAGATTAGAATCCTAAATTTTTTTCAAAAAAGGAAAAAGATACAATCTATTCCTGTTATGTGAGTTTCTAAGTCGTGCACCAAAACGGTCATGGAAGGTGTTGGAATGGATTCTGCTCGGTGCAGGTAAAAATATATTATCTATACTAACTAGGGGGTACACTCACCGACCGCTTTAGGGTCCAACTCCTTCGAAGCGCTTCGCGCCTCAGGCATATTACTATGATTTATGAGATTGGTTTAATTGAGCATGTTTAAGGACAAATAATCAATTCGTAAAGAGTTCATTACAACTTTTCAGCTACTTTTCTCTCTTTCTCCAAAAAAAAAAAAAAAAAAAAAAGAAAAAAAAAATTACAATTTTTGAAAGGCTTTTAAAATAAAATTCGCCCGTGACCGAACAACTTTTATATTATTTTTTTTTTTTTTTAGTCAGAAATAAAAAAAGGGATGAAGTCTACCCCGGTCGTTTCTTCTGCCGTGCTGAGGTCATGAAGGCTTTTTCCATTTAAATCTTCCGTCACATTCATACGGCGCAATGATACAACTATTTGAACTCTCCGGAATGCGTGAGGTATCACGCCGCATTTGAAGGCGTTTTCAAAACAGCCAAGTTCCGTTTTCGGAATAATCGTTTTGCGTAGTTCATATTATTTTGTTTCCATTTCTAACCACTTGTTAAATTATAATCCTCCTATAAAAACCATCCATTTGCTAAATACAATTCTAGCTGAAGCTCACTTAAGCGCATTTATGACTGCAAAAATGTTAACGGAAATTGAAAAGGCCAGCGTGCATGGAGGCTATCTCCATTTAAATCTTCCGTCACATTCTTACGGCGCTATGATACAACTATTTGAACTCTCCGGAATGCGTGAGGTATCACGCCGCATTTGAAGGCGTTTTCAAAACAGCTTAGTTCCGATACCCGAATTCTCGTTTTGCATAGTTCATATTCTTTTGTTATATTCCGTACCACTCGTTTATTTTTAATCCTCGTAGAAAAACCACCCATTTGCTAAATACAATTCTAGCTGAAGCTCACGTAAGCGCAAAGAGTTCATTACAACTTTTCAGCTACTTTTCTCTCTTTCTCAAAAAAAAAAAAAAAAAAAAAAAAAATATACAATTATTGAAAGGCTTTTAAAATAAAATTCGCCCAAGACCGAACAATTTTTATATTATTTTATTTATTTTTTTTTAGTCAGAAATAAAAAAGGGATGAAGTTTACCCCGGTCGTTTCTTCTGCCGTGCTGAGGTGCTGAGGAAGAACGCCGTATGAGCCTTCAGACGTTGTGAAGTTTCCTCCGATAAAAACCGAATTTACCGAGAAAATTGCGAATTTTATTTTCCAATACAACAACAACTTATTTCAACATATTTCATTTCATTTACAATTTTGTACGCTATATCATCTAAAATATCTGAAAATTTCAAAGAAAAATCTGCATGAATGTTGTTAAAAATGTCTGCAACGTCACACACCGATATATGTGGTTTGAGAGCTTCACCATCTATTTGAGCTCTGACAGAAAGTACTAGGTATCAATTAAAGAACCCCGGTAAGAAAAGAGGGTGTTCACGAGATATGTATGATTTTCCAGGGGTATCCCTCAGGCTTGGCTACACGAAATTTTAGATAGTATTTTTGTGAGCTGTGTATGAGTTTTTTGAAAACACCGATACCTACAAAAAGGAAAACTCGAGAGGAAATACTCACTTGATTTTTGTCAACCCCTTACCTAGGATTTTACACGAGAGCTTTAGACTGCCTTACTACTTCATGCCTTAATACTTCATTATTAATTTTTTTTTTTTTCTTTTTTTTTCTATGAATTTATTGTCAGTCCACCGCATGATCCTGTTATTAGTGACGTATGACATATTTTCTACAAGCTACGTCCTTCCGCATCGGTCTCCAAATTAACTGTAGGTCGACTTAGATTTCTGACTGATATACTTTCCAACTCTTCAGCGGAAAAAAAATACAAATATGTTGGGATGTGTTCTCCAATTTCTCGTCAAGTGACCATGAAAATGATTTTGCCGCATTCGTCGCTCTTAGATCAAAGAAGGTAGGGTCCGAATTTTAGGAACACATTTTAGGACGGCACCGTTGTTATATATTTATACAATCAAAGAATTGTTCGGAAAATCGACAATATCGGGATAAAAACCAGTAATACTTTATTTCATCAGTACATTGCGCAACTCTGGAATTAGGACATGGTGTAAGAGAAACAATCGAACTTTCCGTTAGTGACGATCGCAATCACAAGAAAAATTCATTTTAATTCTTGGATGCAATTATTTGGACTCAATGGATGTCCGTGTTGCATACGCACTAAATTGAAGGCGTTTTGACTGTCCAAGCACTCACCACTTCACCGGCGGCTAATTCCAGACGAAGACAAATGACCAATGCAACAGTGGTTGAGAAAATTCGCGACAAAATAAAATCTTCAGTAGATCAGGCGACGTTTCCAAATTTTCCAAAATTTATTTGATGGTTTCAATTCTAAAATTTTTCTCATATACTTTATTTTTGTTTCAGATGAGCTCCACAAGGCGTGAATAATGATAAGCCTGGTTCGGACGTTTTTTTATTGTTCATTTTACATCACATTATGTTCGGCTGTCCCATCTAGTAAGTCCTTCCTTCTCATTTTTGTGAGATAATCGAATGAAATGCTCTCTTTGCTGATTAACAACCATGTGTTTTCTTCTCCGTTTCTTTTTTAGGAAAAATGATAAATTTGTTTGAATTTATACATCCAGATGAATTTCGAAAAATCAATTGGCGATCACTGATCACCACGATTCTTTCTTTGTAAAGTCTCATGATATCAACAATGATATTGTAAATATAAATGTGATACGCACAAGTGACATATCGACGGTGTAAGTCGGCAATCACATAACTCGTTCGCGGTGTCTGAAAATCTCCGCCTCTATGTTATTTTTTCAAAGGAGAACAAATTGACATCATTCCTTGAAGTTTTTGCAGAATTTTCTTCACACAGAAAAGAAAAATCACCGCAGGTTTAAATAATTGCCGTTGAGTAGTTTTCCGTTTGAAAAATAAAGTATAACAGGAAGTCTGCGACGTCGCAAACCGAATTATGTGATTGCCGACTTACACCGTCGATATGTAATTTTTCAGTTGTTTTTCCAACTTTTGCAACTTCACCTACAACAAGCCTCCGAGACAACTTACTCATAATTGAAGCGCTGGGTGCAGTAAGGACAATTCTTGGTTGCAGTATCTCAGAATCTCCGTTTACGTTTCTTTCATAATAAATAGATCAAATTGTATGGAATTAGTTGATATTTTTACTGAATTTCCTTTATGACTTTACAATGCTGAAAACGAAAAATTGCAGAAAATTCATTGAATAGTTTCCTCTCTGAAATTTAAATTAGTAGTGAAGATTTGAGACACGGCAACCAAAAAATACACTTTCTGCACCAGACGTCTCAATTAGATCGAAAAAAATCCGAGTTTTATCACAATTTGACACAACACTCCTTTCTCCTCTTTCATTAAATCTAATGGGATGGTCTCTACTTTTCCCAATTGTTCCAGGAAGCAGACATCGAGTGGAAAGAGCACTATACGGAAATCTGAGACGGAACTTCAATTGCGACTCGGAGGGCTTCCACTCGGATCCAGATGATTGTACGACGTTCTACCGTTGCATAGACTGGAGCAAGACCGACGAAAATGCTCCCAGGAGCCGATTCACCTCATTCCAGTTCCAGTGTGGCCCCGGCACGGTTTTCGAACCGGAGAACGAGAGTTGCGTCCACCCACAATTATCCTCCCGGGACGAGTGTCGACAGTTACCCCCGCCAATCGAAGCCGAGCCGGAGCCCGACAACTGGGGAAGTCAGTCCGAACCCCAGGGACCACCCCAGTCCCAGTACGGTGCTCCATCGAACAACGACTACTACGGAAACCCGTCGAACCAGCAGGGATCCTCGAACTACGGTCCCTCGAACTACGGAGAAGTCCCTTCGTCCCCAGGATCAGAGCCGAGCAACAATGTTGATAATTTAGAGGAAGGCGCAGCGCCGGAACCGCCCATGCCCGTCCTCAACCTGCCGAAATGCGAATCTGAGGGGTTCTTCCCTATCGAGGGCGATTGCTCGCATTTTTACCGATGCGTCAAGAACGGCGAAAGCGATAGGTACGACCAGTACGCCTTCACTTGTGGTGAGGGCACCGTCTTTGATCCTGAAAACAACGTGTGTAACTACCCCTCAGCAGTTGGCAGATCGGATTGTAAATCCTCGGGAAGTGAATGGAATAACAGTCCGGACAACTCTGGCTCGCAGCAACCTGAAGCGCCGTACGCGCCCCCTGGTGGCTATAACAATGGACATGCCTCTCCTCCTCAGGCTCCTCCATCTGAGAACATCCCACCATTTGAAGATACTGACGAACGTCCGATTGAGTTCCCTGGCTCGAACCAACCACCACCACCAAATAATGCAAATCGACCACCACCAGCGGCTTACCCAAGTAGACCCTCGGAAACATCATCTGGAGGCCAGCCAGGATATCCGCCGCAAAATAGACCGACACCATCGTCTCCTGCACCTCCTCCACCGAGCACGCCCGCACCTGCAGCGTATCCCAGTAGGCCTAGTTCAGAGGGCGGTTCTAATTACGGACCTCCATCACCAAGTAGCTCCCCTCCACGTCCATCAAGCACCACCCCACGACCGTCCTACCCCAATCAACCAAACCCGGTCAGCGGAGGTGGCTACCAACCCCCAGCACGTCCACCGCCGTCGTCTTCGCAAGTCAAACCAGGGAACACAACCAAGCAGTGCAAGGAAGAGGGCTTCCTCCCCGTCGAGGGAAACTGCACGAGATTCATAAGATGTGTACCAAGAGGGAGCGGGTTCGCCGAGTATGATTTCGAATGCGGGGAGGGAACCGTCTGGGACACCGAGCAAAACACTTGCAACTTCCCCGGAAGCGTGCAGCGGCCGGATTGTGGACTGACGACTCCGTATCGCCCTCCGACTTCAACCGAACCGTACAATAGCTCATCGGTCACCTATCCCGACAAAGAGTCGAAACCAAGCCAGGGTGGATCTTACTACTCGACGACATCTACAACGAAAAAACCGACGACCAAACCGACGACAAAAGCTACAACGACTGCCAAACCGGCGTATCCAACTAGACCAAGTGGTGGTGGTGGTGGCTCTGGTTACGGACCTCCCGCTGTGACTTCTCCCGAGAGACCAAAAACCACAACCACAACTACGACCACATCACGGCCTACTTATCCATCCAATCAAAATCCCAATGCAGGAGGTGGATATGGACCTGTCTCAACAACGACTACAACTCGCTCGCCAAGTACAACAACGAAACCAGTGTACACAACGAGCTCCAGTTACAAACCTCCGACAACAACGACCCAAAAACCAAGTACCACAGCACGCCCAGCTTATCCGACGCAACCGTCGAACTCAAACGGGGCGAATCCCAGTTACGGATCTGCAGCTCCATCTGAACCAAACAGCGCTTCCAGCACTTGCACGAGCGAAGGTTTCTTCCCGGTACCCGAGGACTGCAGTAAGTTCATTAGATGCGTTAGTAACGGTGAAGGATTTACAAAGTACGAGTTTGATTGTGGCCCTGGCACTGTGTGGGACCCCGTAAACAGCGTTTGTAACCATCCATCGGCGGTCGAGAACTGCGGGCAAATGCCTGTCGAGACAAACCCACAGCCTGAAACTCCTAACAATTCGACCACAACGTCATCAACCACTCCCGCACAACAACCATATCCAGATAGGTATCCGACAAGACCAGCAGGTTCAACTGGTGCTCCGGCTTACGGTCAGACCAGTCCCACGCAGCAATCATACCCAGACAAGTATCCGACCAGACCAGCCGGATCAACTAGTGCTCCATCATATGGTCAAACCACCGGTCGCCCTCAGGGAACAACCACCAAGCCACCCCAGACAACCACCAAATACACTAAAACAACAACCGCGAAACCATACCCGACGGAGCCTTCAACCAGCCCGAAACCTGTGAACGGTTCAACCACTCCTAAACCATGCAACGACACAACGAAAGCCCCGGGTCCAATCAAGTGCGAGAAGGCTGGATTCTTCCCTCACCCCACTGACTGCAAGAAATTCTACAGGTGTGTGGACTGGGATGGCGATAAAGGAGAAAGATTCTCAGTATTCTTTTTTGATTGTCCCAATGGAACCATATTTGATCCGGCGCTAGACACTTGCAATTATGAAGCCTCCGTATACCCACCCAGAGATTGCAATCAAGGAAATCAGACAACAGAGGAGGGGACAACCAAAAAACCGTATCAGCCAACAACTCAACAACCGACTTCTGAGTATACTAATGGCACTACAGGATATTCGACCGAGTCCACTACAACGCGAGAGCCGTATACCACAAGAGAATCAAGCACGTATTACAGCACGAGTGAGGGAACGACAGAAAGCTCTACGGAATATAGTTCAACGAAAGCAACCGAGTATTCAACTGTCAGCAGTACCCCGTACGATGAACAGACTGAGCCTACCTCTGAATCTAGCAGTTACAGCTCAACCTCTACAGAGAGTGTGACTGAGTCTAGCACGTACAGTTCAACGTATCCGGATTACGGATCCTCCAGCACGTACAACCCAACATCCCCCACCGAGTCAAGCACGTATTCTTCCACCGGATACACCACGGATATTTATACCACTGAAAGAACTACCGAGTACGGAAGCACGACTGAAACAAGCACAGAGCGTGTCAACCAAACGTGTCCTGATCTGAAAGAAAATCAGTTCGCGATCGCGTGTCCCTCTGGATTCAGGAGGCATCCTAAAAGTTGCGGGATGTTCTACCAGTGCACCATTGCTGAGAGCTCTGAAATCAAAGTTGTAGTCTTCTCCTGCCCCGAGGGCACGATCTTCGACGACGCCAAAGTCCAGTGTTTGGAAATCGGTAAGATATCTTCCAATGATACTTAAAAAACCCACATTCTTGATAATTTACTCTTCATTTTATCTTATGAAAAGTGGGATTGATCAGGTAAAATATGCGTAAAAGGAAATATAAAAATAAACTGAAGGAAAGATCGGTGAAATGAAGATATATTTTACATAAAGTATGATACTTAAAAAACCCACATTCTTGATAATTTGCTCTTCATTTTATCTTATAAAAAGTGGGATTGATCAGGTAAAATATGCGTAAAAGGAAATATAAAAATAAACTGAAGGGAAGATCGGTGAAATTAAGATATGTTTTACATAAAGTACATCAATTCCCCCCCACCCCCCGCCAAGCGGTGGGTAGAGGGCATCTGTGAAGAGATGGAGAGATGCCAGCTTCCGGAGGATCTCTACCATGACAGATTCCTGTGGAGAGTAGGCGTCGCAGAGCGCCCTAGCGCGCCGTAAAAGCGGCTCATACATACATACATACATACATACATACATACATACATACATACATACATACATACATACATACATACATACATACATACATACATACAAGTCGCTTTACAGCACTCCCTCGCGCTCTACGACTCCTAACCTCCACTGCTCTCTTTCAAACCACAAATCTTGGGGGATTGAGCACCTTAACATTTCTGCTTCAATCCCTTCCCTCCAACCTTTCATTGGGCGCCCTCTGCGTCTTCTCCCAGGAGGAACCCAGTCAAGGACCTTCTTCGGCAACCTGTCTCCTGCCATTCTCTGGACATGACCATACCAGATGAGTTGTTTTGTCACAATATCATGCACGATGGTCTGCTTGGCATCCATGATATCCCGTACCGCCTCATTCCTGACGCGATCCTTTCTGGAAATACCAGCGGATTTACGCCAGAAGTCCATCTCTGTTGCCTCTAAAACCTCCCGGGTCCGCTGTTTCATCGGCCATACTTCACACCCGTAGGTTACTATGCTCTTGACAATCGCGTTGTAAATCCTCCTTTTGTTCTCTTTGGAGATCCTTTGGTCCCAAAGGACTCCATTTAACATAGCGATTGCCCTCCTTCCCAGCATGTTCCTATTCTTGATGGCCTGGTCCAATCTTCCATCCTGGGTTAAAAACACTCCTAAATATTTGTAAATATCGCAGCTTCCAATTTGCCGCCCATCCTCTAATTCTATACTTTGCTGATTCCCGCCAACATACATACATAAATTCCCAAAAAGAGATTCGTTCTTGGAATTCAAAGTGAAACATTTGCTGTAACATATTTTATTGCATATTAACTTCAACTTTAAAATACATTTTTCCGGGTAATTTTTTTCTATTACTTGAAAATACAATAGATACTGACACTCTTGGGTGATTTTTTGTGGATGATTTTTTTGTTGTTAATATGAAAGTCTTTTTAAATATCTATACCTTGTTTTCCCTCTCTTCTTTTGTTCTAGATCAAACAGATGAATGCTCCGGTGATAGTGGATCTCGGCTCTTGAAAGCAGTAACAGACGGCTCATTACCTCCGGTAAGTGTACCCCGAATTTTATCCCCAAAAATAGTTTGTTTGCGTTCCCTAAAGTTCAATAACTCTTGAGGACTTACGAGCCGTGTTCCACAATTCTTAGAGCAACCGGGGGAATTATTAGGGAAGGCCTCCTACAATTGTCAGCAATTTATTGTGCAAGCCTCGAACCTCGCACAGCACTTTGTAAGAGGCGTCTTCGGTATTAATGATGCCGATCGAGGACAACTGTTTGTCCCCTTCATACCTTAATTTTCCTTTTCTCCTTAACAAAAAAAAAAAAAAAAGTCGAGGAATAACTTATAGGTACATAAGAAGGGACTGCATGTAAAACATTTTTCATGCGTAGGAGTCTTGGGAGGAAAAGGTCTTAAAATTTCCAGAAAGTTCTTTCTTTTTTAAAAAATATGTTTTTCGTTACCTCTGGGGGTCTAGGTCTTTCGAGCCCCCTCCCCTCCCCATCCCCGATAACGCCTCTTGAGCAACGTGCAAACAACTTTTAATGGACGCTGCGTCGCTGGCACTTGCATTACTGTGAGTTCAAGAAAAATCAAAGCGCCTTCTTTTCCTCGTGTATGCAACACAGGCATCCTTCGAGCGGGAATAGTTGCATCCAGACTTTGACCACTGGCGGATCCTGAAAATTGACAACATTGTTTTCTCTCCATGTAAACCTACAGAAATGTATCGATTCTCGGAGGGGTCAAGTGCTCCGACAAGAATCGATTATTTAGCGCACGTTTAAATGGAGAATATCCGGTGTTGCCAAAGTGCTAGATACACCTCTAACTTTGGCCCAGTTAGTGACTGGAGGCATCCAGATCCATACATCCCGCTCTATTTCCAATCGAAGGGGAACCGTTACGGGCATATAACAAACGTTAGCTTAAATACTGTAGTGCGGGAATTTTAAATAGAACTATAGTGATTGAATTATAGTTTCTGGCGCTTTAGACTACGGGGTGAGTGAAAACACTAATACGTATCTTTTTGATTGCAGATTCAAATAACATCGAAAAAAGAGTTGTGCCCGACTGAAGGTAACCACCCGTATGAAAATGATTGTCAGCTCTTTTACAAATGCAAGAAAGACAGCACCGGATCGACTAATGGTGAGTTTTATGAAAATATATCGTGTTTTTTCACGGAAAGTAAGTCACAAAACAAATTGAAAACCGAGTCTCTTAACTTTTCAGAGCCTAAGGAATTGAAAAAATTGTATGCAGATGTTAATTTTAAACAAATAATAGAATAAATTATAACCTCGGAAAATTCAATCTATCATCTTTGGACCTCTGTATGCGCGAGTAAGAGCGGTGGTTCAGCGCTGATGCCGCAATCAGACGCTGAATTTAGCAGCTGAATGTGGAAGTCAACAGTCATCGCCCAACGGCTGAAATTTAGCAAATTCGAGTTATTTTCATCCAGATGTGTATTAAATCTACTCGAATAGTTCAGACAAATTCAAAATTGGTCCGATGGTTGCTGAGAATCGTTGCTGAATTTTGCGCGTCACGCGCAAAATTCAGGCATCGGGCCGATGACTTCCACATTCAAGCCTCATTCAGCTCCCACATTCAGCGTGTGATTGCGGTGTGAGTTAGTCGCCAATCAAAAACAACCAACGGATATAAGTTTTTAAGTTTGTGAGAAGCGGACAATCCTTCGCCCGAATAAATCATGATAATCCTGCATAATTTCAATATTGTATTTGCAATAATTGAGATATCATTTTTACTGACCACGTCATCTTGTAAATTTGTATTACAGGTTATCTCTACCAGTGTCCTGAAGGATACTCGTACTGGGATGTGTCGAAGAGGTGCGAGAAAACCACAAAAATGCCTAGCTGTGATCGAGGTAACGCGTTGATGAAGAACGATTGGAGGCCAACACTCGCTCCGTTGGAAACTGGAAACATTGGCTCCTGATCCAGATCCAAATAGGCCAAAACTATCCTACTAAGTCTTCCTTGATGCTCAAATGGCCCTTTTGGGACTTGTCAGAACTCTAGAGAAGTGGGTTCCCACAAATGTCTTCCCCACCGCAATATTTTCTGTGGAATGGAATCTCTTTTTTAAAGTTCTACAATAAGCTGCAATATGCTTGCGAGACCCGAAGGGGGTCTCCAGGCGCGAGAGGATGTCTCTTGTCTTCCGTTTAATTTATTTCGTACCTATCGATGGTGCCAACTATTTGTAAATATCTTATGATTATATTTATTTTTTTTTCTGCCGACCGTTCAAAAAAGTTACTTCTTTCATGCATTTATCGGAGGACGTCTACTGCCTGAATTCAACAGGAAAAAAACCAACCTTTTTAAGCCAGTTATTCCCTCTCCTTAAATTAAATATTGTGGGTGCTGTTTCCATAACTGATTAACTTTAATTACTAGTTCAATACTGTAACTTCATCAATAATACCTGAGAGGTCACCCACTGAACTTTCTTAGGAGCCTAGAGGGGCGCTCTCAGCTTGATTGAAGGAGTCAATGCCACGCAGAGGGGCTTAAATGCATTGCAACGTCGGAAAGTTTCACCTCATTACTTTCTTCTTTACTTTATTGACTTGCAGTTTCATACTTAACTTTGCAAATGTTAGGGAAGTTTCATCAAGTTATGGAATATATTCAATCTACACTTTAAAGGTAGCACTTGCAAGCATCGGTTCTAGAGTTGTTAAAAATTACCATGTTGCATGCAATTCAACTATATTCCTTATAGAAACGCTTAACAGTGCTAGTCAGATTGTGTAATAACTCATAAAACGAGTGACACGTTGATGAAATAACACGCTTACCCTTTTCTACGTGTATAAATAGGTGAAACTACAAAAAGAAACACGGATCCCTGGTAAAAATTGGCCATAGGACCTGCGTTTCAAAATACCATAGGAGTTCTTATAGCCGGCTGAAGAAGGCGATAGAAAATTATATAGCTGGCTGTAGAAAGTGGAAAAAAATTATACAGCCGGGCAGCATATTGTTCCTATCGTCGGGCTTTACACTTTATCGCCTGGCTGTTGCTTTTTCGCCATCAGCTATAAAGGGCTATAAGAAATTGTGTAGAAATTCTAGTGCTTTGTAAATCCTTAAGTTTGTACGGAATCACCTTAATATTTACAAAACGCACTTTATATTTTCCTTTACTACATGTTTTTTTTTTCATTAATTAAAATGAGAATAATCCATACAGAGTGTGCAAACATTTCAAAGTCATGAGTTGAAAATCGCTGACTCTACGAGATTGAATATTAGAGCCTAACACAAAGCGGAGCGGCGGCGCACTGGCGCCTACAAACCTAACAGGGATACTTCACGCATTGCGCAATGCTTGAAGTATCCCTGTTAGGTTTGTAGGCGCTGATGCGCTTTTCGCGCTGACTACCCGCCCGCCGCGCCGCAGCGTGCCACGGCGCTTGAAGCAACTATTTCACACCAGAGGTATTGCACAGTATCATACGAAATTGAAGGCACTCAAACATATTGGGAATGACAGGCATCCTTCAAAAGTACGGAGCTTTCCTCGCAAAATAAATCAAGATGCTACGGCCCAAAAAGAGAGCGGTAGTCTAAAAACTCACTAAGTCCTAGCATCCGTAATTAGTAACGTTTTAGCATACACTATATCGCCAGGCCGTTGCTTAATCGTCATCTGCTATAAAAGGCAATAAGAAATTGTGTTGCCGGCTATAACAGCTATTGGAAATCTTACAGCCGGCTGTAGGTCTGTGGTATTTCGGAACACAGATTCTACTGCCAATTTTTTACCAGGGATAGTGAGTTTCAATAGAGCTGCCAAATTTTTGGCTGAAAAATAAAGGCGTATTAAGTTTCTTAGTTCGGAAAGCACCACATCAGTCCATTCCCACTTTGCTTCTGTAAAGAACAGCACAACTGAACCGCGATTATTTTATTCGAAATCACGTAATCGCCAATCCCTATTTTGGTGGCAGAGGGATTGTTTTTCTTAGTTTTCTGTGATCTAATCAATCGTGTCTGATTTCAAAATAGCCTTTTAGAATAACATACATTTCGTGGTATTCGAAGATTGTCAAAAAAGCGAATAAAACGGTTGTTCTTGTTTTTCTCGTATTCGCAATTTTGGCGCTTACGTGATTTGGAAAATAATCAGTTCCATTCAGGAGCTTATTGTTAGATGACAAGGCGTATACGTGCAGTTTTTTCTATTTCAAGAACTAAGTGTTTAAAGTTTCAAAATTACACGGAGCCTTCAGACAGAAAGGAGTTCAAACTCACTTCTCGATACTTTTAAGTTGGATTTTAGTCGTGAATTTTCCTAAGAATTTACTTTTAAACTAATTTTAGTTAAGTTCATGAATGTCTCAATTTTTTCAAGAATTTCACCTATACGCCTTGTCACCCAAGCCCCTCAATCGAGTTTCTCCCGCTCTAACCCCTTCAATTGTGAGAATATAACTATTTCAACGCTTAGGAGCTGTTTTTGCATAATCCATCAAATGAAGGCGGATAAAAAAGAATTTAATGGTAACTTTTGTTCCTTTCCTTTTAAAACATTAATTATGAGCGGCTGCTAAAGGCGTTCCGATCTAAGATACGCATTTTCGACTTCGGCCATCTATCTGAATTTTTTGGGGGACCTTCAGGTGCAAACAGGCGCCACCAAAGTCTTCAGAAAAGACCGATGAACCATTCAATTCTGATACTTAGGTGTTTATTTTCTCACTTGCGTACAAAAACCGCCTGACTGTGATTGAGTACACGACTCGACAACAGTTGTAACTGAACTACTATCTCTCAGATTTAACAGGTGTTGAAAATAAATAAATAAATAAATAAATAAATAAATAGATAAATAAAATTAAAGAGAGATGCTTAAATATTTGAAGAGTGATATCATTGATAGACGGAGGCCCCCTGACGCCTTCGTTAGGAAATTTTTAGCATTCAGTTAAATGCTAGAAAAGATTTAACATATTAGATTTTGCAATACCTACCTACTAAAAATGCATACAATTGTTCCCATAAGATAATAAGTAAATATGGAGAAACAGAAGAAGAAAGAAAAACACGCTTTCAAAGTCAAAGAGCACGCATTTATTTTTTGATATGTGCGCAGTATTCGATGGTTTTGACGTTAAGGCAAAACTCCAATCCTCAAAGAGGTGACCGCTTTAACCGACCGGGAACGCTGAGTTAGAGTGGAAACAAATTTTGGTAAGTTCAACTTCCATTACATCTATTAATTTTCGAAATATAAGTGCTACCAATTCAAAATATAATATTTCCCTTTCCCTTTTAAAAAACGTAACTACATTGCAATGATGCGAAATTTCCTCTCGTGATTTGCATTTTTATCAGGAGAATCTTAGACATTTCCATCAAAAAATTTCCCTGGTTATCCCTCAGATCTCACGTAGGTAAATATCCAAAAAATTGCACAGGCACATATTGTGAAAAATAATGGTTTTAGGTAATGCATTTTGCAACTTTCGAATGGAGTTTCGTTTTATACGAAAAAGACGAAATGTGTCACACATTTCAAGAAATAAAATGCAAGATCCATCGTACCTAACGGTACAGTGAAAGCTCGCTAAGTCGAATTGTGTAGGGACCGACAAAAAATTCGACTTAAGCGGAAATTCATCTTAACCGGTTTTCCATTTCATTTATGAACGTGTCCAGGGACCGAAAAAAAATTCGACTTAATCGACATTTCGTCTTAACCGTAGTTCGACTTAGCGAGCTTTTACTGTATTACCGGGATGAATGTAGGTAATGCTAAAGCCTCTCATGAAAAAGCTCATTTTTCGACTGCAGTTATGACTATGCCGCAGTGTCTAAAATTGGTACTACCTTCGCTTTAGGTGAGGACGAATATAAAACGTTTTCGATGACGCATAATAAGTTCCAAAAACAACACGATCACGATGACGATTGGTTCGGCCCCCCGCGTCTATGGAATTCGTGGGCGTGTAATAGAGGGCACACACATGCCACGGTCATCTACGAAACTAGTAATTATGTGGTCTCCGTTTTTGTGAGGAAAAAAATTGAAAACAAATCGTGAGGCTGGGAAGAAACTTTTATCGCATTCCACGTCGAAAACTTCCTGCCTGATTTCATTAAAAGCTTGAGAATTTATACCATGTTTAATTCTTAGGATCTTGCATGTTTTTACCTCAAGGCGAATCTTCTACATCGCACAGAAAAAAAATCTCGGTGTATTTACTAAGAAAAGGGTAAAATTACCAAGAATTCAGGGTTCTATTTGATCCCAGTTTTTTTTTACTTTTATGGAATTGGAAATTCTACCGAGAAATCTCGGTAAAACTATTGAGCTTTCTCGGTAATTTTACTGGACCTTGGTAAAAACGCCAATATTTTTCATCGACTGTGGTAGAATTACCGAGATAAAATGGCAAAGTTACCGGGAATTAATTACCAATAAAAGTGGTATTCTTACCTGGAAAAAACAGTAAAAATACCGGTTTTTAGGTAAGCTTACTAGTCCGTCTTGGTAAAATTACCAATAATTGGTAAAAAAAGTGAGATGGTAAAGGTACCAACGGACCTTGGTAAAAACGCCGAGAATTATTTTTCAGTGCGGAAGGAAACGAACATTCGTGTATAACTAGTTAGGCAGCAGCCACCCGTCGGTTTTTTTTTTTTTTTTCATTTGGTCTCGTCATTTTTTAGGGGGAGTTTTTTGGATTGGGCCGGGGTGGCTACCGCCACCTAGAATAGCATAGCATGGTATTGCTGAAATACTGGTTTCGCTTTAAGTTATTGACAAAACATGGATCCATTACCCCGACAGCTGTACCTTCCCGAAAAATGTATTTTGTAAATTCTAACGCATGTAAAGAAAGTATCCAAAAGCGAAATATTGTTTTTCGATAGTTAAATGAAGCGGATCATTTTCGTGTTCGGCTAATTTCAGCTGCACACATAAATTATTTAGGTTCTACAAAAGGGACTTTTTGGGAATAAACCGCAGTAATGTGCTACCAGGCGTAACGAATCTGTTTTTCTCCCCAACATTTTCTATGAAACAGATATTTCAACACATGCCAAAAAATTGCCGTTTTTTTTGGCTATGACAACACACTATTTTTATATCATTTGGACTACATTGCGCATGAAGGAACTAGGTACCAATCCTGGCTTATTTTGTGAGCAGAATTGCCATCAGTTGCACAATGCAGAAGGTTTTTTTTTTATGGATGGCCCGGAAATAGTCGTTCTATATCGCAAAATGTGGTCCATTTGGTCAATAAATGCCAATTTTGGACGATCAATAAAATGTGTTCCATGTATGAGGCTGATTTTCAATACGAGGAGCCCCTTCAATTAGTGAGTAGGCAATATACACAGCACTCCGATACCAAAGCAATAACATACTTTTTAGGTACAATGTGATTGCAATTAATTGCAACCTGCGCTATTTGGGATGTTGATTGAAGAGTTACGGGACATGGATCGATCCAAAATTCATTCATTCATTCAAAGTTTCTGGAAGACGCGACATCGAGCAGGATAATCTCTCATTTTCCAAAAATGCAGTCACATTCATGAAGAAGGAAGATCAATACGTAAAACTAGTTTTTGAGTTGTTTGAGGAGCAGGATTTTTGTCAGGAATGGATAGAAACGAGGGGAAGAGGATTTCAAAAATTTACATCAACGCAGTGAAGGGGGGGGGGATAATATGTAAGATGTTCAAAGTGAAGCTGAATCTATATTATACTGCATGGTGCAGAAATTACCATTCATTTACTCACTTCATGGAGCGGAAACGTTTCGGTTGATTCAATTTTTTCAAATACTATGCGAAAAATGTGAAATTGTTATTTAACGTTTTTAAGTCGTAGTCTAAGGGCTCGGAATTTTCCACCCCTTTTCTTTAACTCAATGCTGCGAAAGTTTCATATTTGTTCATACTTTTTTCACAATTTCTACTTGAGTTATATATTTCCCAGGCGGTTTAAAAAAATTGATGAAACTAAAAATTCGGGAAGTAGAAGAAGATGAGGCTCGACCGCTCGGGGAAGTATACGTATGAAGGGACGGGGAGGGGAGAGTGGAGGAGGCGTCGCTGTTTGTTTACGTCTGTGACGTCATTCTTAAAACTAACCTAACCTGAAAACAGTCACCACCTTCCTGTGATTGTTTTGTTTACGACTTATCTTATCATCTCTGTCATACACCTCAACATTTTAGTGTCATATTTATTGATCAGTGTGCAAATGCTAGCAAGTACTAATCGTGTTTCTTTAATCGAGAATATCGGAAATTTATAAAAACAGCGTCGTAAGTGTCTGAGGGCAAATCCATCGTATTTGTGAAGATGCAGCATCTGGGATATGGTCATCATGAAGTGTCCTCTAAAATAGTAGTCACCAAACACAAGTATTCTAGTGATTTATCAATATAGTGCCGTGTAATTTCTAAATCATAACTTGACGAATGACTGGGACGATTCCACTTCATAGGATATTAATAATTATTCCTTATCATTGGGACAATTAAGCTCTATCACTTTACGTTTGTGATGTTGTCTCAATATAACTTTACTTGTAGCTCAATGCCTTCAAGGATGATTTTCAATCATCCTTATTTCAACAATTGGATCTCCTCTTGGAATTTGAATGTTTTTCTCAGTTGGTGACAGGCCATCGTCGCACTGCCAAACTTCAAAATGAACTACGGAACTTACGCCAACACATTTCAAGCGGTCCCTGATTTTTCTCATCAGTCAGCGGCAGTCCAGTCCAATCAAGATCCAACTGGAGATGCAAATAAAGGGAACATGGTCACTAGTGTTGCAGTCAACAATATACAAGGAGTGCAAACACAAGATAGAATGCCTGAGATGTTGCAAAGTATAGCTACTTCTCGGGTTCAAACAGTGAATTCAACAAATTATATTCTAAATACGCCAGCTATTAGTCAGCCTCAGCAAGTTTTCAGCACTAGTAATCAGTTTGCTCCTGTCCACTATATCTCAGCACCAACATCAATCACTAGCAATGATATCCAAATTGCATGGACTGATCCCAACCGCTCGAACAACTTACTCAGTGAACATCTTAAAAACTCCATTAGTGTTCCTATTTTTTCAACGTTACCTCACAACGCTTTGCATATGAATTCTCCAGCCGTTTGGTCTGTTAAATCAGTGTCTGTAGATAGTGTTGGTACCATGACGGATCCAATTCTAAGTTCAGAGTTTCTAGATCTGAAAACTAAAAATAAAAGAGATTTTGATAGTACTGACTGTTCTAAACTAAATATCGGTATGCAATCAAGTGCTCTTCTACAATATATGTCCCGAATGCCACCTCAGATTTTACCTCTAAGTTTTCAAAACTTTTTAAAAAAACATAACATTCCGTACAATATCAAAGTTTTAGGTAATAATTTGCTTTCCCAAGGAGTTTCTGCAATCGGAATGGGATCTGTGAATGTCACAATTTGCAAGGATAATAGGACTAAATCTCCTGTGTATAAACCCAAAACCTTCAATCCTCTAGTAGATGGTGCAACAAATTTTAACTGCAACGTTTGTGATTTGGAATTTCCTGATGAAGCCTCGCTGCAAAATCATGCTTTAGTATCAGGTTAGTCAACTTCAAACTTTTATAATTGAACTTTTTTGGCTCCCCTATTGGCTTAAAAAAAAGTGAAATAAATAAATAAGTAAAATAATGAAAAAAAATGAAGGTCGGTATTTATTTTGAGGAGGAAGAAGAATGGGGATTAAATTTGCTAAATGGAGTCTGATGATGCAGACTGTTTTAAAGTTTCATTGAAAACCTAGTTAAGTATTATACATTTTTAACCTTATGTCCAGATATAATATTCAAATATTAAGTATGCAGAGCAATGGTTACTTTTGTTTTTAACAAGTGCCTAGACTCCGAATGATGTGAGACTTTGAAGTAAAATAAAGGAGATGGATATTAATTTTCGTTCCGCTTTTGAAAAGTGCTCCTATACATTTTCTACGAACTATTTCGATATCTTAGAGAAGAGAACCCCCCCTCCCCTTCCTCGTCACGAACCTTTGGCTAATGCAAAATTTCCTTTGATAAAAAAAAAAGATTCCCCAGAAAAATTTTAACTAGGTATTATACTTCCAATTTTTCAGTTAAGTTCGGTCGCATTTTGATTTAAATTTTATAGAACTTTCAAGGAAAATTAGCCCTAACTTTCCTTGAGAGTACTTACTTACTTGTCCGAGAAACATAGGACAATATTCTACTCGTATGTTTATGCAGCGTCTCCTCATGGCATGGCTGTGCGTGTCTGTCAATTTGTAGAAAATTCCCTAAATATAAGTAACAGGGCCTCATATACGTAGAAACATTCGGAATATAGACAATCGGTGGATACAACTTAATTAACTTCGGTGTGGGGTTAGGTTGCATCGCCAAATTTGAAGGCGAACTCGCAGCGATTTTGTATCGAAGCAATGCGGCGCACAGTGGATTGAGTCAATTAGAGCGGTCAGACATGAAATTTTTGACTAAAACTGCAAATTTTGACGTTTATTTCGTCACGTTTTAACTTTTGAGGGGAGCTTAAGATGGAAAATTTCACGAGGAAACCAATGGAACCACTTTTAAAATCTCAAAATTTTGCATAAACGGAGTTACAAGCGTTTAAAGTCTCCAAATTTTGTTAGACCTCTCCTATTGACTCGATCCACTGTGCGGCGCCAAGGGCACGTACCGACAACGCTCGATCACTCGCCCGGGCTCTCAAAATTGTGCAAGGATGGATAATTTTTATGGTCAAAAATAAAAAATCAAATGAAATAATAAGAGAAAAGGTCCGCACTCATAACACTGAAGAGAATCGTGGAAAACCGTTGAGAAAAACGTGGAGAACCAGTCGGCCGGTGCGTGAAAACGTGGAAACTTGGAAAATTCTGCATCCCTGTCTCCGCGATATTGAGATGAAAATTGTGTGATTTTTTTTGTCCTTACAAAACTGCTGGAAAAATCGTGGATGTTGTATGACGCGATATTAAGGTGAAGAACGCGTAATTTGTATATTTTTTCAAAGTCGCTGAAAAATCGCGTATAAACCGCTACATTGAAGTGCAAAATCGCGTATTATCTCACTTCCTCACAAAACCGCTGAATAAACTGCGTCTATTTTCCGCGATACTGAAATGAAAATCGCGTAATTTCTCACTTTATTACAAAAAATTCCCGCATCGTGAAAGGAAAAAATGAAGCGCGCATGATAGTGTACGATTTTTAATTTAGATCGGTTGTCAAAACTGAAAATACTTACTTTTCTTAAAGAGAGAGAAACAACTTAAAACGGGATCAAGGCCGCAAATAATAAAATGAAACAAATAAAATAAAATAAGAAACCTGGGACGTTTCGCAGGGATCATACCCGCATTTTCAACCGGCAAAACAAGAAAAATTAAGAGAAAGGACACCATGAGCCTCACCGTTGTTACTTTTTTCTATCGTTACCTTAAATGAGGGTTTCCTTTAACTAACACTAACGTCGATTTCGTGCAACATGTTTTCTTCTTCCCCTAGTTCCTCTGTGTTCAACATAATAAATTTTGTTGCAGATCACGAACCTGACAGAAGATTCCGTTGCGAAGAATGTGGGGTCTGTTTGAAGCGGAAAGAACACCTAGATCAGCACAGGAAAGGGCATAGCCAAGACCGACCGTTTGTGTGTTCTATTTGCTACAAGGGCTTCAAAAGGAGCGAACATTTAAAAAGGCACTATGGAACTCACTCGGACCAGAAATGCTTCTCCTGTAGAATCTGCGGGAAAGCTTTTTACCGCAAGGATCATCTTGCAAAACATGAACAAACGCACGTCAATCGGAAAATATCCGATTCTTATGAAACTAGTCAACTGTCCCATGGTGAAGATGTCTCAGAAATCTCAGAACCTGATCAAGGTAAGAAAATAAAATTGGAACTTTCTTATACATGTGTCCTTTTATGCATCGTTGCAAATAGAAAGAATAAATCGAAGTCAAAACACGTGGATAATGTACTCGCAGGAGTAAAACTTTTAAAAATAAGTAGGTCAAATAAAGCAATAGGTAGGTAAAAATGAAAAAAGAAATTGAATGAAACGCGGTCTCTGTTCAAAAAGACGAACTGCGAAAATGTCTACAATACGATGACGCGACGTTTTGTTCACCAATCGCAGTAGAATTAGTATGCAGGATAAAAAACGCCTGGCCAAACTGCAACTATTCGTGCCCGGTAGTTGTCCTTATTGCATATGCAACGAATTGAAGGCGGACAGAATTTCCTCCGTTGCTCTCGCTCTCGCGAAGCCGACGGTTGAAGAGTGGATGAGTAGTGAGCACGCCCGTGCCAAGGATGAACGTTGCACGACCGCTCAAATGTTGCCAAATTTTCTCTGATTAAATCTTTATCGGGGTGACAACCTCTCGAAATGTCATTGAAAACCTCGAAAAGTCAAGAAATTTCTCTGCAGAACCTCGAGACTCTCCCTTTGGCCTGACGACATTAATTATTCTTTGCCGAACTAGCATGCTTCATGGCCACTTAAAACACGCTTGAATACTTGATTAGAACCTTCAGGCCTCGATTTTCGAATTTTTTCAATTTCAAGGGACCTCGCGCCGTAATATTTTGTAAAAAGAGTATCTATGAAAAATTATGTCGAAAAAGCCTTGCAAAGCCAACGTGGCAAAGTCAGGGAATCCTGCGTTCAAACACTCCAAAGAAGTTGTGGAAGAAGTGAGGAATTTTTGAAGTGTAAGACAATTTTGTCACTCTGTTATTTTTAAGGAGAGTTATGAATGTTTTGCCTTAAAATTTACCGATATTTTATATTTAATCGCGAATAGAACGAGATTAAATATATCATCTTTAATCGCGTTTAATAATCTATACTAATAAAGCAGACTTCACGTTGATTGACTCACTCACTGACTGACTCACTCACTCACGTATCAGCGGATCTCGTGAACGGGAGGCCGTGTGACCCTGAGATTCCGCACTGGGATCCCTCTCTACCCCGAGGCGCCGGATAAGGGAGGATTTCGCGATCCGCCCACCGGTTCGCGGGATATCGCGGTTCGCGTGGGTCGATTTTTCCGTAAGGACAAGGGGTGCGAGAGAGAGTGCGAGCGAGATAGAGCGATTTCCGCGTCTCGCGCTGGAAGACAGCTGATAAATTTTACGTATGTTCTTCTGGTACGCGCAACGGGTGCGAAGAAGATGGAAGGAGTTCGGCGTCCAACGAGTGCGAGGAGGATGGAACGAGTTCGGCGTCGCGCTGTTGGAAACGCCGCGCCATGATTTTTGCGAGCTCCGACTCGTGCATCCGTTGCCGAGCTACTCTCCCAGGGATGTGAAAATCTGGAAAATCTGTCTGTGCATTGGTTCCGCTTTGAAATGATTTAGGCAAATTCTCGAAAAATTTTGAGAGAAGCTGTTGTTTGGCTTCAAAAATAATAAAAATAAACCAAAATGGAACATAAAGATGGTGTGCAACGTTGCAATCGGAGGAGAAGCGGGGTTTTTGCGCGCATTTCATCAATATTTGACTCCGATCGTGGAAGGCGCTCTTGATACAACTATTTCACCACGGGGGATGTCCACATTGCCGCTCGCTATATTGAAGGCGTTCTGTACTGTGATGACGGCTCGGTCAAACAGCGCCTGCAGACGCGGTGCTGACAGCAGAGCAAAACTAGAACATCGTTTCGACATTCTCCACCTGCTTTCTGTTTCTATCATAGTTTACCGAAACACATGAGTCATACTTGCAAAATTTTGGATCATCGCTAATGTTTTTTTCCCCTTTTTTTTCTTAATTTCAAAGCATTAAATCTTATACAAGGAAACCGATGGTTACATCCCATAGTTCTCGTAAAATCGAGATTGAATTCTTGAAATTCGTCACTTTTAACAAGCAGAAATGAAGCGAGCAACTATTTGAACTCCGGAGTGGGTATGTGGTATCATAAAAAATTGAAGGAAAATCATACGTTTTCGCCCATCCCAAGTAACAGATGTTTATGAGTTTTATGCGCACAGTTACGTAGTCTTAATTGAGTAAGAAATTCGTGTGTATGCCACGATATTGATTTGAATAACGCGCAATTATAATACTCTTAGAAATTCGCTAGGAACACGACGTATTTGCCGTGATATCGTGGTGGGTCATTCCACGTCAACTGTGCCAGGCTCGGAACCCGACCCCCTCCGATTTGGCTGAAAATTGGTATACGGGGTCTTTACATCATTATAAGAAACTAATTTGAAGGGTTTTCCCATCCGACGCCCCGTTCGCGAGATATCGACCCCCAAAGATGGGGTGAATTTTAGCGATATTCAAAAAAGCCCGTTTTAGCGATTCTCATTTTCTCGACTTCCCTCTCTTTGACTCTCCATAGCGAGACTCTGTATCAATCCATCATACTTTGAAAGAGTGTTTCTAGACCAATTTTTCATGTAGATTCTGAATATGCCATCAAAATTGAGCTAAAAATTATTTAAACGGCCGTAATTTAGAGTTTTTTAAAATTTACGATTTTTTCGCCATTCAATGTTCAAACTGAATTATCTAAAAAACAGTCTCTCCGATTTTCGATATTTTTTTTTATACTTCAAGCTTAGGATATATACTTTCGGTTGATATACTTTTTTCAATTGCCATCGGACGGTTAAGGGCCTAAAAAAATTCAAATAGGCCAAAAAAGGTCAAAAATTGGTAAAAAAAGACGATTTTTTACATTTTAATCCAAATATTTCGATAATGAACACTTCAATTAACGATGTTTTCCCCCAGTTTACCCTCTAAAATGTATAAAATCAGACTATCGACGCTTTCCATACATTTACCGATCGATTAACGGCCTGATGGAAACCGGAAACCGACCGAAAATCCTCGAAATTGACGCAAAAAGACGATTTTTCACACCGTAACCGATGCTTTCCATAGATTGTGACTGCAATTTCCAATTTTCTCTCTCTATTTCAACCTTAAGGTATATACTTTCGAGTAATAAACACTTACTAACGTGCATCGATGGGGCACGGATTTAAACGGAAATGAAAACCGGCCGGAAATGCTCAAAAATAACGGAAAAAGGCGATTTATTGCATAGTCAGGGAAGCATGTGTTCGAAAATTACGTCCCGTTTGCACGTTTGTGATGCAAGTTTACTCCTTCATTTTGGTCCCTAGAATGAGAAAATCTTTGGTGGACTATCCGCTTTTGATGCCAAGGCCCCAAAAACAAGATGGCGGCCAAAATAGAGGCTGAAATTGAAATGTTGGTGAAACGGCACAAAACGTCAAGAGAGATGTCGATCCTCATGTTTTTTGAATCGTAGATTCCAAAAAAATTGCCATACAGACCCCTCGATCCACGGAAATGACCAAAATCCAAGATGGCGGCCGATTTTGGCTCTTTAATGGCTAAAACGTCAAATGAGGAGGAAAGAGAGGAGTAAACACTCCAGATATCTGTTTTCGAGGTCACCGATTCCAAAAAAATAGGAGAAAAAAACATCTCATGCCAAATGGTACTGATTTGGACCATGCAAAGGCCGAACTCGGCAGTCATTCTGATTAGAGTGTTCAGAAACAACTCTATAATCGGGACCTCTCGACCCACGGAAATGCACAAAATCCAAGATGGCGGCGATTTTGGCTCCTGAATGGTTAAAACGTCAAATGCGGAGCAAAGTTCCAGCAAGTGTGTTTTGAGCCACTGAATCTGAAAATTGCGTTTATAATTCCCGACCACCCCTCAGTCTTCCAGAAAACTGACCAGGATAATGACAATTTTTCCGGGCGGAATCGACTTTTCCAGAAAATCGGCCTGTTGCAAAGTTTTGCTGGATCAAAAATAAGATTTGGTAGTACTATAGAAATGTCTCAAAAATCACGATGAGCGGATCGGCAAAGTCTAAAATGTACTCCTTACTTCACAATTTGCATAAGAAATTTGCGTTTTTTTAGCTTCCCGCCTCAAAAACGATACCACGGCAAAGGTGAACGTTTCGTTAGAGGAGTCATATTCCATCCAACCCCTGCTTACAAGGATACTACGCAATATTCAACATAGCTGACGCCAATCCACCAAAACGCTTGAGATGGGACGATGATTCTAACCACTTGATAACAATCGGCGTGTTTACACATTCACATTTTTCTCGCGTTGACAGATATCCGCCGTGATTGACCTCATGCTCTCCTCAACTTGCGCGCGGAAGCGTCTGCCATGTTGAGGAGGGATTGAACGGAACGACTCCTCTAACGAAATGTTCACCTGTGCCGTGGTATCGTTTTTGAGGCGGGCAGCTTAAAAAAACGGAAATTTATTACGCTAATTGTGAAGTGAGGAGTATATTTCAGACTTTGCGAAAGCGCTTATCGTGATTTTTGTGACATATTATCTATAAGGAAAAACTCCAGGCCCGGCCCATTGCAGGGTGATGAGAAGGAACGGAGGAAATTTCCGCATTCAGCGCCTCATAATACGAAGGAATCACCTTATCTCGTCCGGGAGATTATTATATAGTAATTATTTGGATTTGCTGACTTCTAAACTCGACTTTCGATACTCAGCTATACCAACTTGCGCTTCATGTACTAGGCGTCATCTTGATCTTGAGCAATCACCACTTGGTCATCAGCAAATCCGAGAAACTGACAAAGGGAGGTGATCAGCAAAGCACTGAGTTGGAGGATGGGCAGCAGATCAAAGGCTGCGCGCACTATAGGTACTTGGGGGGGGGGGGGGGGGGTGCGGTTGATCCAGGATGGAAGAACGGATCAAGGGATCAAGGAAAGAAACATCCAAGCAAAGAAGGCCACAGCGATGTTCAATGGAATCCTCTAGGATTCGCGGATTTCCAAAGAGAACAAGAGAAAAATTCACAAAGTTGAAGTCAAAAATATTCTTACATATGACAGTGAAGTTTGGCAGCTGAAGGAACGGACCCAAGGGATGCTGAGAGCTACGAAGATAGATTTCTGGAGGAGGTGGCTGTAGGAATTTTTAGGAACGATCGGGTTCGCAACGAAAGAGTGCGGCAGATCATGGGAGTCGAAAATGACATGGTATTCGACGACATGATCAGACAGCTTGACTGGTATGGCCATGTTAATAGAATGACGGACGAAGGACTGCCAAAGAAGATGCTTGATTGGGTATTCCTCCCGGGAGGAGACGAAGTGGATGCCCAGTGAAAGGGTAGCGACATAGGGTTTTAGAAGGAATGAGGGTAAGCAGGCCCGCTACAAGGGTGGGGATACTGGGTCCATGGTACCGGGGCCCGGGCCTTGGAGCTGCCCGTGCCGCCCATGACACACTTTTTCATATTCACATGTAACCCTTGTCTCATAAGGAAAAGTGAAAAATTTTATAAAAGGTGAATAAATTTTCTAAAACTCGCTGGGGCACTGTAGAATTCCTTTTACTGCTATAGAGGTTTGCTTCTATTTTAAAGATTTTTAGTAGATAATGATATTTTTACAACTGTGCGCTCTAAACTTTAAGATATTAAAAATTATTTTTCTGGTGGTAAGGTGACCGGGGGTGGGGTGGGGTGGGGGAGGTTGGTGGCAGTCATGGGGCCCGGATCTTAAAATTGGAACTAGGGCCCGAGGTGGGATGTGGCAGACCTGAGGGTAAGTGAACTCCCTGAAAGGCTTTTCGAGGATCGGGAACTTTGCTCCGCATTTGACGTTTTAACCATTCAGGAGCCAAAATCGCCGCCATCTTGGATTTTGTGCATTTCCGTGGGTCGAGAGGTCCCGATTATAGAGTGTTTCTGAACACTCTAATCAGAATGACTGCCGAGTTCGGCCTTTGCATGGTCCAAATCAGTACCATTTGGCATGAGATGTTTTTTTCTCCTATTTTTTTGGAATCGGTGAGTTATAGTTTCTTATAATGATGTAAAGACCCCGTATGATTGATGAACCATTGATGAGAATTAAACGAAACCGCTGGTTAAATCCCGTAATTTTCGCGGCTGAAACTCACCAGCTATAACTTCAATTAAACATTGGACTGACAAAAGTAACAATTCTTTATGAAAAAAACCAATTTTTGATTGGGTATTGTTGATTATTATAATGATCATATGAGGTTACTGCAGAACAGACCAAAATAGCAGCTTTAATCAGCATACTACTAATCTCTACATTTTTATCAAACCAGTGCGTCTCGCCAATTTTGAAATAGTAAAAAATAATTCAGAAACACAATTAGTAACTGATCACTAATCACAGTGATTGCTGATGGTGGGGGTTTTCCTGTGCGTAGCACGGGTTTTCTGCTAGTCTCGAATAAATTGGGAGATGGATATTCAGAAATCTTCAAGAAAATTCTTACTTCATCATAATAAATTTGGCAACGTTGGAATGTTCACACGCCGTTTGCCCTCAACGTGAGAACAGGACTGTCTAGAGTACCTTATTTATAGACAGAGTATGGCCATTCCTATCTTTTAACTACAGGTGCCGCTACTGTGCCGCTTTTTAATTGGTCAACAAGTTTTTAGGCTTCATGAAGCTCTTACGGCCGTAAATAAACAAACAAGATGGCAACCCGCCGTAACATTAATAAGAAGCTAAAATTTGACAAAAATTTCAATTATACGGCGTTGTTATACGGTAGTAACAATTTTAACCAGCATATCTACGAATAACACATGAAAACACTGTTGAATCGCTTTTCGCCTTTATCACAGGCGGATGTAAGATGTGCATAACCTCAAGCTTGCTGATAACAGCCATTTTGTTTGTTTATTTACGGCCGTAAGAACATCGTGTCAGCCTATTTTCTCGCGACCAATGAAAAACTGGCCCAGAAATGGCCATACTCTGTCTATAAAGGTGCTCTAGGACTGTCCTCTCGTATCAAGGAGGAACGCGGTATGAGCCTGTAGACGTTTTCAAATTTCCACAAACAAATCATGAATTTCCGGGAAAATTTTTCAATAGTTTTCTTCCGATTTTTCAGAGAATTTTGTTCGTAATTTGATCGAAAGTGTCTGAAACTTTCAAGGAGAAGCAGAAGCATTCATAACTGGATTGCATTTTGCAAAAAGGAACCACTAGCATTGCAATGTTGCTAAGATTGTGCAACTTCTTTTGTCTTGGAGGAAAACCCCGATTATCCATTAATAGTTTCTATTTTACTCGCTAAAAACTGAATTTAAGACAAAAATTACCATCTAAACTTCATAGTTTTTCACGATTTCCCCAATTTTATTGCAAAAGATGAAGTTGCACAATCTTTGCATCATTGCAATGCTAGTGGTTCCTTTTTGCAAAATGCGATCCAACTTTCCCCTTGAACAAATATTTTATGAGAGGAAATTTGGCAACATTCGATTGCTTATGCTGCGTGTTTCTTTAGCTCAATAGGGTTCGGCATCGACCATCGTGTGCAACCGCATCGCTACGTGATCATTTCGTTTGCCAAAGGAAGCTTTCAGAAATGGGGTTGTTGTAGAGTTCCATTATGTAGAATGACGTTTTAGATATTGGAATTCGTGCTCACAGCTTCCTCGACCATTCCGTCTGCATGAATCCCTTGATTAAGTATTGAGTCCAATACTTTCATGCTACACTGAAAAAAAAAATCTCGGTGTATTTACTAAGAAAAGGGTAAAATTGCCAAGAATTCAGGGTTCTATTTGATCCCAGTTTTTTCTTGGTAAAATTACCATTTATGAAATTGATAATTTTACCGAGACATCTCGGTAAAATTATTGAAATTTCTCGGTAAATTTACTGGACCTCGGTAAAAACGCCAATATTTTTTATCGACTGTGGTAGAATTACCGAGATAAAATGGCAAAGTTATCGGGAATCGATTACCAATAAAAGTGGTATTCTTACCTGAAAAAAACAGCAAAAATACCGGTTTTTAGGCAAGCTTACCAGTCTGTCTTGGTGAAATTACCAATAATTGGTAAAAAAAGTGAGATGGTAAAGGTACCAACGGACCTTGGTAAAAACGCCGAGAATTTTTTTTTAGTGTAAGTGAGAACGGCGTAAGAGCCTCTAGACGTCGCCAAAATTATTTTCAATAAGACATGAATATTTTTTGTTGACTTGGGTCTCTTTAACTGTGAATGGTCATACTTATTTTGTATCATGATGGTGGAACCGTAATTTTGTCACCCGGTTGAACATAGCCTAACCTGATATGACCCCAAGAGAAAACAAGAGCCGCAGTATGAATTGCGGGCCGTGTGGTACCCCCTACTTTTACGAGCCGTCTCTCGTTGGCTGATCCGCCTGGTGCCTACTTGCTGGAGCCCTTATGAGAAATAACACGGGGCTCATTTTTAATCGGAAATATCTCGAAAACAAGGAAGAATCTATTCGTCCGAGATTTCCGAAATCCATTTTCCAGATTTTTCTGCAGAGATTGGTGAATAATACATGACACTTTTTTTTCTAAAAAAAAAAAAAAAAAAAATTTATGCGTCGGAGATTTCAGAAATCAATTCTCCAGATTTTTCTAAAGAGACAAATATGAGTAATACTAGACACGTTTTTCTCAGACGCACCAAGCAGCTCGACCTGGATTTTTTTTTAAAACTTATAGTTTAAAGCTTTGACTTTTTTTAGCGCTTGGTGTTATGAAAGGAAGAAAGAAAAAAAATTCCAGGTGGAGCTGCTTGGTATGTTTGAGAAAAAAGTGTCATATATTATCCATCAATCTCTTCAGAAAAATCTGGAAAATTGACACACGAAATCTCCGATTTATAAATTTTTCCTTGTTTTCGAGATATGTTCAATGAAAAATGAGCTCCTTGGTAATTTCCATAGGGGCATCAAGCGGATCAGCCAATCAGAGAAGACTCGTAAACGTAGGGGGTGCCGCTCAGCCCGCAATTTATATTGTGGCTCATTTCCTCCTTGATTATTGACCTGACCGAATGTGATGAAATATTGTTTAACCTTACCATATTCACAATTTTAAACAGTCTGAGTGATTATAGACCTGCAAATTTTGATTTCAGGACATGATATGATATCCGCAGGCTGCTGATAACTACCGTGAACCATTCTACGACTTTTGGACCAGGATCGATTGCCGTAGCGAAAAGCAACGTTTGCAATCATGACGATCAAAGAGAACAATCAGTGTGGAGAAAATTTCTTCGCTATTACGTTGTTTGTCATAAGTTAATTGAAAGTGTAAATAAAATTGTTATTCTTTTAAAAAATGATGAAAATAATTCAGGAGCAGTTGTTTCGAAATAAAGTACCGGTTCCTCTGAAACAAAACATGTGTTGCGTCTTCTTTCTTTTAAAATAACTTAAAAGACTCGACTCAAGACTTCTAGCTGTATTATCTGTTGAGGTCCAAGGCAACAGTTCCTAGGCTCTATGGGGAATGGGTTTTATTTCTGCTGGCCTTTCATTGAAATTGAATGCGACAAAGCAATAGACATACATATCTTATCGGTTTAAACGGGTGGTTGTTACAGACTTTAGGAAAATCGATGGACTAACACTCTAACTACCACAGGGTCTCTTGTGGGTTGTATTTAGTTAGTTACTTAGTGTTCCTCTCTGTCTGTTCCTCACCGAGCTCATTAAGCAAAGTTCAGCAAACCTTGAATTTTCAAACGTTATGACCACATTACAAGTGATCATATACATGTGTTTATCTATGTAAAGCCTCCCAACGCGGCGCGACGTTGTCACATACGAGGGGTATTCGTAAAGTAAGTTAAAATTTGTCATATGCACTTATCTCGTTTGCGTTAATGTTTCAAAATTGCAGCACAGCGTATAAAGTACAACGCATTGACTATTATATCTGTTAAAAATAGTGTATTTTGAAAAATCCGTACATAAGTATCTCAACTAAAACTAATTTTGCTTAAAACATTACATATTTTTCCTCCTCCATCTTTTTTCTTCTCTAATTTATTTTCTTAACACGAAAAAGAAGTGTTTCAAATATGGATGCATTATGAAAAGCGGATTATTTACTCAAGTGTGTGATATTTTTACAATAGCGTGGCAAAATATTTCTTTATAGGAGGACACCAGTAATCATTTGGTTATCTTAAGTCGACATTATTATCTCAACTCTGCAATATCGTATTCTGAGGAGACCCGGCATACAGTGGATCGAGTCAGTCTGAGCGATCGGACTTACTAAAATTTCAATTTTTTTTCTTTTTTGATTCCGTCAAGCATTCAATTTCAAGGGGTGTTTCTGAAGGAAATTTTACGAAAAAGCCAATGAAACCACACTTAAACTTTTTTGTTTCATATTTCCAACAATATAAGCTTTCAAAATTTCCAAATTTTGTCTGATCTCTCCCATTGACTCGATCCACTGTGCGGCATATTCGTGTCGGTATCGATGCTGTACTTGGATTACATTTTGCAATAAGGAACCACTATATCTGGCTCCCCTTTAAAATCACATATCTGCGTAGGGAAACCAATAGCATATATGTTGTTTTTAAAATGAGCCGAAAATAGTGGTTCTTTATTGCAAAATGTAATCCATTTATTGTAGAACTGAGGTGCTCGGAAAATACTTAAAAAGGTCACTGGACTAAAAGGACCGTTAATGCCCACTGAATGTTAATTCTAAAATGGGCAATTTTGTGTTATGGCCCAGATAAGCTATAAAAAAATAAAAAGAGCGTTTTATAATAGGAGGACATTGCAAAATAAACGGAGTAAATGTCGCAGAAAGTTTTTGAAAAAATACAGCTTTCTACAAAAAAAAAAAAAAAAAAAAAAAAAAACGAGGTCAAATGTCAATTTTTGGAATGCTTTTCTAAATTTGAGCGAGAAAGCTTTTTGAATCATCAGCAGGGATTGAAGATGTAATAGAGTTTGTGTGTCCTGGGTACTGGAATATCCAGTTCTTTGAGAGAATGAGAGAGAGAGAATAATGGCATATGTTCAAGGAAGGAGAAACAGTAGGAAAACAAATCTTAACAACAGTTATATTCCAGATGTAAAACTAGCATTTTCCCACCTGCTGACGCTACATGACATAGCATTTGTGTATTTAAGAAGGAATACGTCCGTATTGTGGCACGGTTTCCACGAACGCAGAATTCATGTGATTTCCGCGGGTCAGAGGAACTGTTTTTTTTTCTTTATTCAATATGCATCTGTAACTGTTTTAGATCCAATGAGAGATATTTTAATGACTAGTTTCGTTGAAATTTTGGCAAAAAAATCATGTCGGTCATGGTGGAAATAAGGTTCAAATTTTGAGCAGCGTTAACAGATCGACGTGTTGAGGTCACAGTCTAATGTTTTCGAGGAACATCCAACGCAGCGGTCACATTTGCAGTGCATTCCATCCCCGCACTCACCGAAAATCTTTGAGGGTCCGCCACAGATTTGTCCAGGGCCCTGAAAATCGATTGAGCATTAGTTTCAGAATAAAGCGTTGTTGTCTTCCATAAAATGCAGGTCAAAGTTCAGTGTAGTCTTCTGTAGGCATTTAAGAGTTTAGTGAAAACAACTCGAAGCAGCCAGCCCAAGGGCAATCCTGGTTTTGCACTGGGATATATTATAATTTTTAAAGAAAAAAAAAAATGAATCAGCATGAAATAAGAGGAGCAAATCGATAAAACTAACGCCCTTTTAAATTAGAAAATTTGCCAACCTACGCCTTAAGCGCGCGCTGTATTACGCGTCCAATTTTATCCCTCGCCCTCCTCGGGGTTGCGGGGAGGAGGGAGGGGGGGTTGTTCCCTCAATCATGCAAAATGGCCCCCCTGAACGTTCTAAAAGCCTACTCTGCGTTGTTGATTCCATTATCATATGCTTTTAAGGTCGCCTGGAGGATGATACAAATATATGAACACTTGTGTCATCACTTGGTATCATGAAAAATTGAAGGCGATTTCTACTCGCTGAGCAGTTAAACGATGTCAAGTGTGAGGAATTATTCTCAATCACGCTTAATACTTCCTCTTCGTCTGAATGACCTTATTTTTGCGCAACAGGTTCTTAGGGATTAATTTAGGCTCACAATGCTCTGCTGAGAAAACGCACATTCAGTGTCTCAGTTTCCTCGCCTTACAGCACCCGTTACGAGGAAGAGTAGCGGGCGTTTTCAATCAGTTCTTTGAAAATTAATATTTTCAACTTCAGTTTCGGTCGATTTAATATAAAATTTGGTCGATCTACCAAGTTCTTTTAATTGATCTGACCGAAAAACAACAACTTTCAATAACCCTAAGTAACCGTAGACACAGAGGTATTTAACTACAGTGCGCGCAGTATATCACAATTTGTACTGTACACCCTCGACCCTGTTTGTTAAAGAATTCAATTACCTACTTCCTATTAGGCCTCTTTTTGCTTGATTTGATTATAATGAGTAATTACTTACCTTGCCACACTCCCAGTAACCGCAATGATTTTTGACCAATCCGTAAAGGCATTCCTCCTCAGGCAACAGGTTGCACTCCTCTCCTATGCACGGCAAACACAGTTTCAGTTTCAGAGAGCCTCCCACCACTGTCCTGAAACGATTCAAAGGAAATTTGCGAAAGTTCATAAATTAGCATCTAAGTCAAAGTGAGCGGTTGTAACCCGTCGGAAGAGCAGACAACATACATAGGGTGTCCCAAAAGTACTGCCCCTTTTTCCGCAGAGGGCGAAAGAATGCAGATATCAAAATGCGGTTTGTGTGAGATTATAGTCCTAGTAATTACCTATAAAACAAGACCAAGTTGAGCTCTGTAGCTTAAAATTTAACCGAGATACAGCATTTTGAAAGTGACGTGTCAAGGTGCCGCCTACGATATTTTCAACATTTTTTACGAAAGAAAAAACCAAGTTTAAGAATGAAACGGTTTTAAAAAGAAGAAGAAGCGGCCAGAAACATATGGCAACACTGTGTTTTAGGCGGCAGTTGGCAACGTGTAAGCGCCCCTATGCAGACTAACGACAGGATTGAAAGTGTCCGCTAGTGCCATCCAAGTTGGTCAAGCTTTCCCGGCACGTCAATCTGAGTTCATCCCTCTGTCGTTTTGGAAGTTTCTTTCGCGATGAGTACCGAATTAAGAAAAGAACAACACCACGTTATTCGTTATTGTTTTCGTCGAGGAATGTCAGTAAAAAACACTTTTAATGAAATGAAAGGCGTGTATAAAGACGACTGTTTGGACAGAAGTAACATTGGTCGTTGGTTTAAATCTTTTTCTGGCGGCCGCGAATCGGCGGAAAGTCCCGCGAAACCGGGCCGACCGTCTACCTCCACCACAGACGAATTAATCGGTACCGTTGCTGCTGTTGTTCGAGGAGACCGTCATTTATCCTTGCGTAAGTTTCAGGTGTTGCTTGACATCTCAAAAAGTTCATTGCACCGGATCTTAAAGGACCACCTGCAGATGCGTCGTGTCTGTTCGTCCTAGGGTTCGTCCGTAAAAAAATGTTGAAAATCTCATAGGCGGCACCTTGACACGTCACTTTCAAAATGCTGTATCTCGGTCAAATTTTAAGCTACAGAGCTCAACTTGGTCTTGTTTTATAGGTAATTACTAGGACTATAACCTCACACAAACCGCATTTTGATATCTGCATTTTTTCGCCCTCTGCGGAAAAAGGGGCAGTACTTTTGGGACACCCTATGTAATTCAACTCTTAAAAATTTCGCCAAGAAATTATTTGCACGTATTTATTCTAAAAGGAACTATGTTGAAATCAATAAAATCAAAGGAAACTGTGTGCATATAGCTTGCATCTGTACAGTTCCTTTTATTTTATTAATTTTACATAGTTTCTTTAAGCATAAGTATGTCGAGGATGTCCATCTTATTTCGAAATATCTATTTGTCTCCAAAATATCAAAGCAAGAGGGTGACATCTCAAAGTAGGGTGATTTTTGATCAACAACTTTTATTTCTTCACTAGACGTGTCATTTTTGGCTAAAGTAAAAGATGCGTTTATCCATTGCGATGTTAGAAATATTTGATTTTATTGTATAAAAGAAAAATTCTCAAGAAATCCCTCTTAATGAATTTTCTGTAATTTGTATTTTTTAATAAGTTAGGGATATTCACAGTGAATTTCAAGCGGAAATGTTAATTAACTTTCTTCAAATAAATTAAAACATGTTCAGAAGTTTGCATCGTTCAATCGGAATTATTTTTTTTTTACTTTAGCCACTACTCAACCCTTAGATACCCATGTCAGTTCAAATTGACCCATAGCCTGCTAAAAACACGAGCCCAGCAGGTTGCACGGGACCGGCACATAGAGCTTTAGACATGGGTCTACAAATACAACCTAAAAAAAATCAGAAGTCAAAAGAAAAAAATCCAATGTCAACATAGCCGAAAATAGGCGAGAAATTTCGGGTTTCATTTTTAATTTATCTATCCAATCTGAGCGACACCTCATTGGTAACATAAAGCAGAGCATTGCGAGTTCGCGCCTCACGCCATCGCGCCTTCAATTTTGCAGATACAACACGGACATCCATCAAGCCCGAATAGTTGTATCTCTACGCCGTCATCAACGCGCTTCCTTTCCCTTGCTCAATTATCGCCGTTGAGCGTCGACGAGCGTTGTGGTGTCCCTTATTTTTGAACCTCGAGGAAAGTTAAGGACAAGTTTGCTCTAAATATGCTTCATGATGTGTCCAATTCAATAATCATGTAGAAAAAAACTCCATGCTTAGAGACCTCCTAAGCGCCCTACTAGCGCACGACTAAAATTGGCTAAAAAAGAGTTGCGTCGGAGAATTTTTTTTTTTTTGACGACCATCCATTGAAATATCTGAACCGCACAAAGTAAAAATTACCTAACTTTCCAAACTCGTTTTAGAAACAACGCGCACGTGTCATCAGTTTCCCTACCTAGACAGGTGCTTTCATGTACGAACCAGAACGTGTATAGTTCTCATTATCACAATTCAGTCTATTTATTGTATTTTTATCACATTAACGACTTAGCTCTCTACGAGAGACAAAAAAACAAATATATTATAGTTGTTAGCAAACCTTAAAGAAGGGTGTAATAGGGTAACGAGGAATGAAGTCACCAAAACACCGAAGGTCAACTGCATGATAATGTCCCACTGAAACAGAAAATATTTCGAAAAATTCTTGATAATTCTTCTATTACCATTTTTTACTGATAACACACTGATTGGCACTGAAATGTAAGACGAAGACAGTTGTACCGTATTTCAATACATGTATTTCTCCTGCTAACGAATCGCCAGCGTGTCGTAAAATCCATCCACTCGTTGACAATCAGAAGTGGCATTTTTTTCTCTTTAAATATTTCTCGTCAAAATTTCCCACATTGGAAAGAAATAAAATAGTTATCACAATCAGCGGCTGGTTAAACATGCGCCAGGCACAGGTCGTCAGTCACGATCACGGAAAAAAATGACTGTGCGCGGATAACCATCTTGGTTTTGTTAATTAAAAGTTGGTGCCGTATACATGAAAAAATTGACAGAATAGACAACGGCATTATATTGTCCACAACGTCTTTAGGGAAATCAATCATTTTCAATTAGTTGCTACTAGAATTACAAATCTGTTCACCGAGACAAAATTGATGTTAAACTGCTCCATCAAGTTGACTCATTGCACCAAAGAGTGCGCTTGCGCTTCACCTAACTTGTTTTTGGTTGATGCTACTCGGTTAAGTGGACTCATTGAACTTCACAATGCGTTAGTGCAAATTATAAACTTGTTGATTATGAAGGACACCATCTCAGATAACTCAATTAAAGTATTTTGTTAGTAGTCTGCCCCGCCAATTTTTTACGCTTTACCAACATTGAGTCACCAAAGGAAGCAATCAGATATGGGCTGATTAGGGAAAGTATGTTGATACATTTTCAAGAATTCATATTCAACCCACCTTGTGTGACTGATAAGCGTGCAATAATATGTTCGTGGAGCGTGCTCCTTTTCCCGTCCCTGGCTCGGGCGTCGGTGAAGTCGCCGCTAAACTATATGACTTCACGCAATTAATTATTCTTGACTCTGCTCGGTTTTAATGATAATTAAAGGACATTTATTACAACAATTCAGAAACTCGGACGATGTTAATTTTTTCACTGATTTAAAAAAAGGGATTAAAACGAACTAAAATATATATCAAAACCAAAAAGTATTTCATTCTAAAAGTAAAGTATACCTCATATCGTAATTTTCGAGGGGAAAAATAAAACTAACGCTGTGTTTGAAAACAGTGTTTGAAAATTTCTTCCCCCCCCCCTCCCCTTGGCACCAAGTTTTACTAAAATCCGACGAGCAGGAACCGAGATAGCGTTTTAGGCCACGCCCGCCACCTTGGTTTTACGAATTTTCTAAATTAGACCAAAAATTCCAATTTAATCGATGGAATGGGAGCCGATGTATCAATTAAGGCTACGTCCGCTGTCTTAAATTTTCAAATTCAGAAAATTCAACTTGAAACGCATCATACCCAAAATCTAAGCTCAGATTCGGCTTCCTCGTGAAAAATCGATGCTATTTCATGTATCATATGTTACCATAGCATAAAGAAAAGAGGGTAATTGTAGGCGTAAATATTCTATCAAAGCCGGCCGGTATGCGGAAGTAGGCACAGACTTCAAACGTTTGAGCTACGCCGCCAGGCGCCAGGCGCCAAGCATTTGGTTCGTCCGTTTCCGAGAAAACAAACTTCTTCTTACTCATCAGCTGACCAGCTGACCCACTCCGAATCACCCATGTTGCCACGTCGGACTGATATGTTAGAATCTACACGCCTACGTTAATCTCTTTCCTTCATGATATGGTGACATATACATGAAATTGCATCGATTTTTCACGAGGAAGCCGAATCTGAGCTTAGATTTCGGATATTATGCGTTTTAAGTCAAATTTTCTTTTATCTATTTTAAAATCACCCAGGAAAACTTGCGGAAACTCATTAGAATAACAGTGTGTATTCTTTTAAAAACATTGATCAAAAATAAAACATTGACGGTATTTGAATCCATTAATCTCCGAGATAACTTGAACACGGTTGTTCTACGAGTTTTTACGTATGTTGTTTTCTTCCGCATTGGTTGTCGGCAGCGTAGCGGCCAAAGACCCCTGGTACTAATAATAGTTTTCAAAATCAATTTGTTTCTACATTCAAAATTCCAAGGAAATGGCAGAAATTTATCAATTGTTACTAATGTTTTAACAATGTTTCTTGTCAATTGTATGCTGTCGTTAAGCTAAACATCCCAGGTTTACCAGTAAGCTAGGCATGCACTATATTTAACACCATGTCAAGGCTTCAGTTCTTTAGAGGGGTAATTTTTTTTTATTTTTTATTCTACATAATCTCACTTGTTCAAGTAAGTAGCCTGGGCTTATTTGTCCAATGCTAGAAGCACTTCAGCCAACCATAAAAATAATCCTACTTTAAAAATTTTGAATTGATTCTCGACATTAAAAGAAAAAAAGAAAAAAATAGATAAATAAAATGCAGTTATAAATGACAACGAAGAGATATTTAATGAAGTATAAAAATTAAAATGAAGTGACTGGATTAAAGTAAAAAAAAAAATAAGAAATTGCAAGAAATAAAATAAAGTAAGTAAAGTTAAAATACAGGGAAGAAATAAAGAATAAATAATCAAAGAAAAATAATATTAAGTAAAGAAAAAACAATAAAGTAAAACATGAAAATCAAGTAAAAAAACAAAGGAAAAAAATTAAAATAAAGTAAATAAATAAAAAAGAAATAATCAAAGAAAAATTGTATTACGTAAAGAAAAAAAATAAAGTAAAAAATTCAAAATGAAGTAACGAAATAAAATAAAGTAAAAAACTGAAATAACGTTAAAAAAATAAATGAAATACAAAAATTAGAAAAATGAATGAACCAATCTAAGTATGTAGATTGAATATCCTGGTTTTCCGTTCAAATCGAAGCTATGTACAGGTTTTTCGGTCAAGATTCTCATCATACTGTATAGGTAGCTCAATCGTTAGGGTCTTCGGCTAGGGTTAGATAGGTCCCAGGTTCAATCCCCGCGGTAGAAAAAAAATGTGATAGGTCGGATACGACTACAGCACCTCACAATAAGTGCTGTAGTTTCATTTTACTCGATTTCGAAATTTATTTACGCGATTAACCCTTTTCCACCATCCCCTAGCTGCGAACCTCGACATTGCACACCTTTGTATTCAATTGTTTTAGCTGTACGTTTCACAAGAAAATACTCCTCTTTATGGCTAAAACACAAAATATTCTCCTTTCTCAAAAGGTTCTCCTTACTTTCATGATTGATACACTAAACATCCGGATGGGTCAGTTTACCATCTTTGAGGGACTATCTCAGCAACGTTGTGAGGGACGTCTACGGAGGACGGCGCGCCCGCCCAGCAGTGTTGGTGAGAATTACCATCTTTGTTGTCAACGCCTACCTGATCGCGGTTTGAGGTTTCTAACCATCATACATTTGTGCTCGTAGCAAAATTGTTCTCAGGGGTCGAATCTGGGAATCCAATATGGTAAATGTCACCTACTATCTGGCTATAAGCACCAAAGATTTTTTTCCGTGATAACTACCGTGGTAGAGGACACGCCACGGTGGTTACCACAACTATAACAGTAGTACTCGGTTTTTACAGCAAATATAATTAATTATTCATCAGAACACTAGAGGTATTTCAATATCAATAGGTCAAACCTGATTTTTCAACCCATCTCGATAAACATTGCTTTACGGAAAATATTGCTTCCGTAGAGTAAGATCACAACTAGTAATTGAATAGGCATACGGTAAATAAAAAAAGAAAATTCATGAAACTATTAAAATGTATGAATCAGAGAACCCCTTCTGAAATTTTTTACATCCAATTAATGTAGAGTTTACATTAAAAAGATATAATACAAGAATTTTAGCATCAAAAGTGTGAAATTCTAAAAATTGCATTCGGTTTTCAATATTCCGATTGCTGAAATAAAAAAATGCGATGATGCAAATATTTGCCAACGTTTTATTCGTGTAAAGAGGAAAATTTAACAGAAAATATTTCCTTTTAAACTTGTGAAATTTTTTCTCTCGTCCAAAAATATTTACATTCAAGGAAATATCTTCTACATACAGGATATTTTTGTTAATTTTTTAAAAATTGTAAATAAAAAAACTATTGCAGATTTTGGAATGCTGCATCGGCGGTACGCAGTTTTCAATTGTAGCATGCAGTCAATATATAATTTATAAAACGAAGGATATCGATAAAGTTTTTGTTTAAGTTTACACAAATGGAGAAATGGAAACTCGTAAAAATTGGAAGGTATCAAGAAAAACCAAAAAAGGTCTCCTTATTCGTACACTTTAACAGCTTTTTTCAAGAGTTTTTCTCTCTGAAAACAAGCCCTTCAACTTTTTTTAGTTGTTCTACTTTTCCTCTTTCTATCTTATTTGTTTCTAAACAGTGAATGTGACTGGAGCTAGTTTGACTAGTTCAGTAAGTAAAAGGCAGCTAACACATTCTCATAATCCGATGCTTCCCAGCTATCAGGCATTACGACTTGAATGTTGAATTGTTTTCCCTCTTTCTTTTTTTTAAGGTAGATTTCTGAGAAATGCTGCTAACTTTTTTATCTTCGAATTAGATTTTGTGTAAAATCGGTAGCACAAACTTTACAAGCAGTGGTATTTGTATCTTGCAAATTTAGTAATACACGAATAATACAGTGAAAAATTTGAGTCCCAAACATGATTCGAGTGAAAAAATTCAGTTTTATTCGATGAAAATCTTCCCTCCGTTATCTGTCGTTTTGAGCAGCAGCTCAAAGTAGTTTGCTAGATTGGGATTAAAAGGGGATAAATTAGGGAAACAGGACCACGCTTTGTCACGCTGAGACCCTGACTCGGGTCAAATAGTGGTAATGGAGACTAAAATTTAGGAATCTTTGACCAATGAAAAAAAAAGAAAGAAAAAAACACCAAGAAGTGTCCCGAACTGAAAAAAAAGAGAAGAAATCAATCATTTCCTCGGACACCCTGGTACAGTATTTGATAGTCGCGAATGAATCCCAGTATATACTAATTTAATTCAATTTTTAATTTTAAAAAGTATTCTTCGTTTTAACATTAACATCTCGTACTTGTTTTTTCCAATTAATTTTTTTTTATTCGTTTCATATCGCTTTTCACGAAGAAGAAGGAAACAAAAACTTGCATGCAACGTTAAAGGGTGTAATACGGCCCAATTGGTAGAGCAGGAGAGGTTATCTTATAGCGCCTATCTATCACCCAAAAAGTGCGACAATACTGATAGCGTGATTTTGACTTACCTCGGAGTTTCAGTGCTCGTTCTTCGACGGAGTGAATGAAAACATGTGAAACCCTTTTTTAGCGAACCGTTAGTGTTATAGATCCTTCGCGCCAACGTCAGCAAAATTATGTGAAAGAGTTTTTCCATTAATTTTTCTTTATTTTATACCGGATCGAAGGAGCAAATCTTAATGCCTGACGACAGATTGCCCATTCAAGTTGAAAGGACTGTCGATTCGATTGAGGGACAATTTTCCGTTCCGCCTGCGTCTTGCACAGGGATCAGTTTTGAAATCACGGAGAAATTTATAATTTATCGATTTCTGATGACGTAAATGCTTTAAAAATAAGTAATTTCATGGCGGCTCTACCCTTCGCCCTTCTCTGTTGAGATATTCGTTGGGGTCATCAAATCATCGAAGTTTTCTTTGTCGCGAACAAAGACCTCGAGACCTTGAGCGTCTTTTTTAACCCTACGTCAGAAAATGAGGGAATCAGAGATTGCCATTCGTTACCAGAAAAATTTTAATTAATAATATACGTATACACAATGAAAAAATGACAACTAGCGTGAAATGAAAATAGACATTGTAACTCTATTTCCTCACTATATTAGAGGAAAGAAAGCTCTTAACGCTAACAAGCCGGTAACAAATCGAGTGTCAGAGATTTTTTTTGAAAACTACCAGTGGCGAGGAGGTGTAATTATCGACTATCATATTTCCCCATTTGTAGCTGTGGTAAAGAATCGATTATTAAGGTGTTCGCTCCGAATACCCTGTTTATCAACCCTTTTTCCCATAGGTTTGAATGGCAGATCAATCGATAGATTTCAAATTACGCCACGCCATTGACACAGTATCCCTAGGAATTCCAAGATGGGTCGAATTGACCCCACCATCTCTTCTTCGGGAGTTATGGCACCGCTGAATACGAGCTTTAGATACGTCTACAAATTACAAAGACATCTTAAAAAGAGGATCAGACATCAACTTTAAAAAGAGAAAAAAATCTAGTGTTAGCACAGCCGATGATAGTATAGATGTATTCCAGCCTCCTCGTTTTTTAACTTTTCCCCCGAATCCAAGCATAGAGTACATAGAGTCGTAATGTAAATGGGAGAGCTGGCGCCATGTTCTGCTCGACGAATTCCGAGCCCGGTGTGCGCCGAGTTCGGGTCGCTTTTTCGATACATTTTCGATCCAAAATGGCGGTGTGGAATACGTGGTAATTCTTATCTCCTTTGTTGCTGTTGTTGTTGTCATCGGATGGCCGGGTACCCGTGTATCGCAAACAATCGATAATGTATCGAAAAAGTGACCCGGCGTCACACAGGAGTCTCGGAATTCGGGACATGGAAAATGCTTAAAAGTGGCGCCAGCTCTCCCAATTACATTACGACTCTATGTACTCTATGAATCCAAGCGACACAGCATTGGCAACATAGAGCGGAGCATTGCCAGTTCCCGTCGCTCGCCATCGCGCCTTCAATTTTGCAGATGCTACAAGGACATCCATCAAGCACGAATAGTTGTATCTCTGCGCCGTCATCAACGCACGTCCTTTCCCTCATTGCTCTATTATCATGTTGTGTTGGTTCTGTGTCTCTAATTTGTATTCGTGCATCAAAAGCTACGCAAGCTCTTAAAGCAACACAGCCGAAGCTGGTAGAGACGTAATCGGCCCTCGTGTTTTAAATAATAATTCATTATGCGTAAAGTAAGAAATCTGATGGCGAAAATAATTGAACACATTTATTGAATGGAATACTTTTTACAATCACTTATTACTTAAGCCCATAAAAATTAGACGAACACACCTCTTATGCTACAGAGATGCTCCAAATTAAACTTTCTTGTTTTTAATATTTTAGCTACTCTTAAGCTTTTTGCATACAGTGGCCGTTTTCTACAATGTCATTGCGACGCAAAACGCAATTTTTTTCAAAGATAATAGGTATGCTGAAAAATGCAACCATGAGGTCACTATATTTCCATAGAGACAATTCAGCAATTTCAAGCTCTGAAAAACCGGCGGCTTCAATTCAGACCCTCATTATTTTTGCATGCTTTATTTGAATGTTTCGACGCATTTGACTTGGAAGTGAGAATGTGACTAGCAAATTAATTAATTAAAAAAAAAACAAAAAAAAGAAAAATTGTTTTTCCTAGGAGTGCTTCATCATTGCCCTCAAAATCAAAATTAATATTTACATGTTTATGCTGGTTTTTGGTGTCTTGATGTATATCGTTGTTCTCTAGAAAAATACCGCGAAGTTGCACTTTTTGTATTAAAAAAAGACGTATTTATATCTTGCGATTGTGAAACCTCTAGCGATATTTGAATCAGAGTGCTCGTTGTAGTAAAATATAAATTGACTCTCACAACGTAAATTATTTGGTGAGATGATTTCAGGTCGAGATTCAATACTACAATCGTATGAAAAAGAATATATATACAAACTCGTTTCAAATGTGTCGTAATAATCGAGTCGCTCCTTGAGGGAGGCAGTTTCAGAGGGGGGACAGTATTCCATTTGATCCCGTATTTGATTTTCCCCATCCAACAAGAGATGAGCGTATCCGTCCGATGAAAAATTCGTGCTGTCGTGGCAAAAACTGGCCCATGAGGGTATGTGCGGTCACCCAGAGGAGGAATCGGCTTTACACGCTGTTCTTTTTTGAAGACTATCATCTCCGTAGTCGCTTCCTGTGTTCAAACTTCGGCTAACTGTGTCACTTCTTTCTCTGTAAGAAACATAATTTGAGTGCGGCATTAACAGCTTGCCTTGGAATTGGCCATTAAATATAGAAATTAAATATTTTCAATTTGTGATTAATTAATACAAAATTGATATCTCTGCATATGAAGCCCGACACTAGAGCTTTGGAAATCAATGAATTTAATGAGATGTAGGAACAGTAAGTAGTATTGCTGGATGAATTGGACGTATTTCTGCCAAATGGAACTATGTGCATTAAGAAATGCGTCCTGAGACCTATAAGAATACATGCATAATAAGGCTCACGTGGACAGCTTTATGCAATAAGGAACTAGGGTCAAATTTTCGATTTTTTTTTTATGATGAATTCCGTATCAGGAGGGTATTTACTTACTATTGAGAAAAAGAAAATCTTCAAAAACAATTTTTATCCCGCTTCAGCGACCCCGCAAAAATTTGCCGTCGCAGGATCACGCGAAGTTCATTTTGCAATTGGGACCTATACTATGGTTCCCTATTGCGTAATGCGAAACTCGGATTTCCCATTTTGCAATTCGGAACTATAGACAGGACGGCATAATGCTTTCTCGGCATTCTCGGCTCCTGTTCGACCGATCTTGCTGATTTTTGGTACCGGGAGGTATTTTTCGACGGGAAACTCGAATTTCTGGTCAAATTTTGAAAATTCAGAAATCCAAGATGGCGGATGTGGCCTAAAATGCTATCTCGGCTCCTGTTCAATGGATCTTGCTGATTTTTGGAATCCGGAGGTATTTTTCGACGGGAAACTCGAATTTCTGGTCAAATTTTGAAAATTCAGAAATCCAAGATGGCGGATGTGGCCTAAAATGCTATCTCGGCTCCTGTTCGATGGATCTTGCTGATTTTTGGTATCAGGGGGTATTTTTCGACGGGAAACTCGAATTTCTGGTCAAATTTTGAAAATCCAAAAATCCAAGATGGCGGATGTGGCCTAAAATGCTATCCCGGCTCTTGTTTGATCGATCTTGCTGATTTTTGGTACCAGGAGGTACCGTAATAGCACACCTAGTCTTAGAGATGTTTTTAAAACGTGTCAATGACACCAAGCCTCATTTCTGAAATGTTTCACGTGATACTTTAAAAACCCGAATGAAGTGTCAAACACGAAGCCACTCTGTGTTCAACACATTCCCATGTCACCACATTTTATGTTTGTGAAACATTTGCAGATTGTGTCACCGAAATGTTTCGAATTCATTTTTTACATATTTCAATGACACAATGGGCAAAGGTCTCCGTTGGCAGTGCATTTTTGACACATTTCTGACACATTTGTAAAACAATGAGCCTTTAACTCAGATTTCCCTCTGATTTTCTAAATGTTTATGATACATTTTCGGTATAATCACTAGAGTCCATGTAGGGTCAAACACGAGCCCACTCTGTGTTGAATACATCCGCATGTCACTACTTCTTAACCGTAAAAAAATTTTCAGACATCTGTTTTAGCAAACGTCGTGGAGGCATTATAGCTATCAAATCAAGTACCTGGGCGGCCTGATTACAGACTATGCCTAAGGAGAGTATGGAACTATGGGTTCACTCCATCAGTATTAAACTATCAGAGGGATTAGGACGTCCTCACTTTAGAAAAGTATACGCAAAGCATAATGTACGGTTTCAATATTTTAGATAATCCACAACTTATAAGCTCTTATGTAGATAAATGCGATGCATACCAAGAATTTAAAACTATTTTTAACTCTGCATAATTAAATAGCCAAAAAGTAAACCTTGAGACAAAAAAATAAACCAAAATTTGGTAAAATTGGAAAATGAAACGTCAACGCTCTCTGGTGGGTTCAGTTTGATCTAGGAAAATTTTTAGAAAGGTCTGAGAAATGTTTTCAACTTGTGTTCACCAGGTTTTAATGACAATCAAGGCACTGTTTTGTTTAACTGAATTATTCCTGACACATTTCTGAAATAAATTTCCTTACCCTTATGCGTTTAAATTAATTTTATAAATGGTTATGACATACGATCGCCGCGGATCAATTAAATGAGAGTGATACGAGTATTTCAACTGGAGAGCAATGAGGGAAATCCGTACACGAAAATCTGAGGGCGTTTCAAATACCATTCCGTCACGTTTCATACATAGATTCAACATATAGCTGTACCTTATCAGATTAAAAATACGAAATATCTGCCAGTTGTTTCTGAAACATGTTTTTGAAGGATCTTGGAAACGTTGCTAAATTCGTCGTCTCCCGCACGAAGGAACGTAACTCTATTCCAAGGTTGCCAAATTGACTCAAAGAATTAATTTATTTTACAAAAATGTACGTAAGCAATTTGAGTCCAAAATATCTCTGTTTTTTGCTTGGAATCTAGAGAAAAATCAGGGAAATTTCCAGTCAGAAATGCTCAAAATTCTCGTGGTTAATAGGCAATTTGTGAGGGGAAATTTGGCAACATTGGAATGGAGTTACGTTCTTTCGTCCGGGAGACAACGAATTGTGTCAGAAATATGTCAGGTTTATTTCTCAGAAACTTCGAACTTCCAAGAATTTCTGCAGCAACGTTTTAAATATGTTTTAGAAATGTTTCCAAAATATTTAGTTGATCTCCTTTCCCAACATATCGTACACAAATCTAATGTGAATCTGTGCCTGGGTCGTTAAAAAAGAAATTGACACAATTACCTACACATTTTTTCCGATAGTTGTCAATAAAGGTTCATTGATTTTCATATACCTAAATTGTGGCAGAAATGTTCCGTAAATATGTTTCAATCATAGGCTTAGCTGTGGCAATGGTTTTGAAATGTTTTTGAAACCTTTCTGATATAGTTTATTGAACGGACTGCAATAAGTATATTGACAACACATAGCTGACACAATTCTCACACATTTTTCGGTTGGGTTATTTATGCCTTTTTGAAATAAGTTTGAAACGTTTCCAACTTATTTTTAAAAAAAGTTTGGATGACCGCAATCAGAAACATTTTCGATTTGTTTTCAATACGTTTCAAAGACACGGCCAACTTGCCCATTCATGTATTCGTTTTGAAAATTTGTTGGAAACATATGTCAATGACTGATCCGAGATTGACGTAATTTGAAACATTTTAAAAACATTCCATTGTGTAACTGTGCTATTAGGGATTTTGGACGGGAAACTCGAATTTCTGGTCAAATTTTGAAAATTTGAAAATCCAAGATGGCGGATGTGGCCTAAAATGCTATCTCAGGCTGCTCGACCTATCGTGGTGAATCTTGGTTGTATAGGGGGTATTTTTGGCCGGGAAACTCAAATTCCTAGCCGAGTTTCGAAAAATTGAAATTTTTCAAATTTTGACATTGAGCTTTTTCAGTGATTTTTGATTTTTGCGTTTTTTGAAGTATTTACTACGCATAAGCCACAATAATTTTCTCCGATATTTTTCGCATTTCAATCCACGAAAAACAAGTTTGAGGTTGCGTCTTCTGAGCTCCCCTTTAAACGTGTGTCCGAGGAATGAAAGATCCCCTAAGGGATACCTACTCAAGTAAGGTCATTTTCGGCCACATCCGCCATCTTGGATTTTTAAATTTTCAAAATTTGACCAGAAATTCGAGTTTCCCGTCCAAAAATACCCCCGGATACCAAAAATCAGCAAGATCCATCGAACAGGAGCCGAGATATCATTTTAGGCCACATCCGCCATCTTGGATTTTTGAATTTTCAAAATTTGACCAGAAATTCGAGTTTCCCGTCCATAAATACCCCCTGACCCCGAAAATCAGCATGATCGATCGAACAGGAGCCGAGATAGCATTATAGGCCACATCCTTAATCTTGGATTTTCGAATTTTCAAAATTTCACGATTCACGGGTTTGTTGACCTATTCAAGGGTTTATCGATCAATTCACGGATTTTTCGAACGAATCACGGGGTTGTCAATCGATTCACGGATTTGCGGATCGATTCGCTGGTTTTTGATCGATTCACGGTCGTCAATCGAATCAGTGCCGATCAAATCACGTCAATCGGTTCATGTTCTAACTTTTCGATCGATTCATGTCGGTCATGTCGGAATCATAACACCGGTTTTTCAATAATTTGTCGATCGAGTCGGTGTCGATCGATTCATGCTTTCATTTTTTGATCGATTCATGTCAATCAAATCTATAAACCCTCCCGTCCAAATTGCATGTTAATATTTGCCGCACCATTCTCGAAATATTAGCAAGTCGGTAGGTATCCATATTTTTGGCACACCCTGTTTTTTGTAGAATATCTTTCCGCAGGGACAATGCACCTCCCCCCTTCCTCGTATGATGGAAGGAAGGGGTGTTTTCTCTGTTGGGGTTAACCCTCCAGTTTGTAATAGTGACACCAGGGTCGTCTCCCCTATGCAGTCAGTGCTAAAACAATCTATAGTTCCTAATTGCAAAATGAGCTTCCCAGGATTCTTCATTTTGCAATAAGGAATTATAGCCTTTTTTTGTAATTATTGGCAACAGTGTGATGTTTTTGACAAATCTGTCAACACAGGGTGTTAAAGGAACTCCATAGCTATAAAATGAACCATCAAACCGCAACATTGATCGTTTTGATGAAAAACGCCAATGGTTTTTGCAAAAGTTGCTCTCCTGAAAACCTACCGTTCTGCCTATAGTTCCGAATTGCAAAATGCTATCCACGTGTCATAATGCACATATTTCTGTTTGGCAGAATTACGTCCAATTGAGAAGGAGATTATTCCGAGTAGATATATTTTTTACATGTAAAATTTATGTTCTCAGGACTTAAATTCAGTTTCGCAATGCCAGCTCAAATTTTTTCCCAGTAAAAAAGCCCCATTGCACCTTTCAACTTTAGTTTTATTTTTATACAAATCAAGAAAATTTTACTTGCTGATATAATGATGTAATACACTCCTCACTTCAGAAGTCCTACAGAATTTTCCGAAAAACCATGACCCATACCGCCCGAATACTTGTCTTGGATTGTGCTTTGTGTCAAGATCGTACCCAAGCTCGGTTTCGCTCAAGCTTTCAGAATTTTATATTTCCCCTCCTTCCTTATCTTAGACATTCCTAATATCCCCTTCCACCACAAAGAACTTTAAAATTAAACTAAAACATGTAACGAACACAATCTAACGAGAGACTTTGATACCTGGAAGATTTGGTTGTGATGGATTTCAAACTTTGACTTCCGCTGCTATTTAGCCTGCGTCTCGACCGTAACTTCACGGAACGCAGCATTTCTAAATTAACAACTGGGCAGCGAGGGTCTACATTTAGTTTTCGCTCTTTCTGGAAAATGGAGAAACGAATCAAACAAAATGGGTTCATTCTGCATCAAAAGTGTTTCGCTGGTCAAAATCGAGATGAAAATTTCGTTTCCTGAACTTCGTTATGATAATGTTTGTTCGTCGAAACTGAACTTAAAACAGGTAGAACTGATTATTCGAGCAAATAATTTTTTTGAACGGAAGAAAAATTGAAATAAAATCAAAACCATTACATTACTATACTCAATATCAACCAGAAAAACCATATTTTCATGAAGCAAATGCACGAGGATTCATGCACAACTTTTCGTGTCAGGGGCAGATGTACGCAAACAGGAAAACCGGAAAAGAGCCCGGTTGGTCGGCCGATTTTCAGGGTAATTTTCCTCTGGCCTGTCTCCATCTTACTGCAAAAAACTCCCAAAAGGAGCCGATTTAAGTAGTGCTCCCATTCCATGTTCGTCAAAAGTTCCGGGATTCGGAACTTTTTTGTTCCAATTTCTCCTGCTCCGCGACCGTCAATAGTTCCGGAATTCTCTTTAGATGTTTCCAAAAGTTCCGGAAAATACAAAACATCCGGAACATTTCGGGAATTTCAAAAGTTCCGGGAAAAATTCTGAAAAATCTCGAAAGTTCCTAAATTTGGTACTGGTTCCGGGAAATTGGAGCGCTGAATTGAAGTATTAATGGGCCGAAAATCCCGAATACTTTTTGAGTCCCTGTTCATGTCTGCTTCGTGCCCAGTGGATGCATTATTGCTTATGATTTTTGTATTTTTTTACCACCATTAAGTCTGGTCCCACACGGCCGTATCTCTTGCGTGCAACAGACCCAAAAATAGGTATATCAATTCTACCGTACTAAGGAAGAACGCCGTATGAATATTCGAGAGTCGCTAAATTTCCATTGATAAAATGTTTTTTCATGAGGAAAATTATGAATATTTCTTTGACATTTTCAGGGACTTTAGATCAAAATACCAAGAATATTCTCCGAAAAATAGGAAGAAAAATACGAGTATTCATAAGTTTACCAGGGAATTCGCGTTTTATCGAAGAAAATTTGGCAACGCCTGAAGGTTCATACGGCGTTTTTCCTTATCATGGCAGAATTCATCAGCTTATTGTTAGTTTCAGTGATAATGACTTACACTTTGCTGCGGGGTTTTGCGCAACGTCACAGCCCTGAGATCTTCGACCGTAATAGGAGGCCTCCTTATTCCATCACTCTTCTTGTCCGCCTCTTTCTTATCTCCTCCCTTGAGCTGCTCCCATGTGGGTGTCATTTGCCCGCCAGGGAGGGGCGGGGGTGGCGGAGGAGGGGGTGGTGGCGGAGGAAGCGGTGTGGATGTCCCTTGGAAGTCTGGAAGAAAAACGGGATGCGATGAAACTAGAGCTAGATCCTTAGTAATAAATCGTGACGCGAAGGCGTATCTGGATTTCCACGAGAACTCTGTGCACCGTATAACTTCATGCTTTCTGGGGCTCATGTGGAAATAGAGACGCGCCCCAGTGGCGTGGCGTGCTTTGAGATATATCGATTAATCGGTCATTTAAACCTATGGAAAAGGATCGATTAACAGGGTGTTTGCAGCGAACACCTTAATAATCGATTCTTTACCATAGGTTTAAATGGCATAAAAATCGATATATCGCAATTCACGCCACGCCACTAAGTTAGAGAATCCACGATTTGGTACGACGCACAGTGGATCGAGTAAATTAGAGAGGTCGGACATGAAATTTTTGACTGGAGCTGCAAATTTTGATGATTATTTCGTTACATTTTAGACCTTAAGGGGTGCCTCCAGTAGAGAATTTCACCAGGAAACCAGTGAGACCACTTTTATAAGAACCTCAAAGTCTTGTATAAACAGAGTTATAAGCGTTATATTCTGGAACATTTGACACACAAATCAACACGAATTGAATCTTTTATACCATTCTATGGTTATCTTGGGAAAAATGTCAAGCCATAAGGTCGATTGTTTTCCTCTTGATATGCGCGAAAATTTTGAGTACCTAGTGGGCATTGAAATGAAATGTTTAGAGCCGAGCCATTTTTGCATCTGCTCTTTTTTGTGAAGCAAAGTTAGATTGTTTTTTTTTTCGAGACGAATGAGGAGAAAACCCACTACGATGTTCAAAATCTGTACACGGAAAAAACAATTTTGTGTTGAGCCTTAACTCTTAAGTTGGCGCTATTTCACCTGAAGTGTTGGGGTTCAGCGCTAACTCATTTTTTTCCGTGTAGCTCAACAGAACCAAATGAAAAAGTGAGATGAAATAAAAAAAATAAACTTACTCAACTTCCTGAAAAAGGAAATAACTTGCGAGATTTCGATTGCGATGGAACTTAAAACTTTATTTCATAATGGAAAGATCTAATGAAATCGCCGACATTCCTTTAAAAATGACCACTTCAACAAGTGGCAAATATTGAATGCCAGAGAACAGAAAGCGAACGGCTTTTATAAATCGCATGAATGATGAGAACAGATCCTTTAGACATCGACTTATAGGCCCTGAAAAAAAAAATGAAAAAAGGTAACAGCGTATCAAAATCAAATGTGGTCAATGACTGCTAAAAAGAGACATGCTTAAAATTATGATGGAATCGACATCACAATTAAAAAAACAGGCATTTGTTCAGAAAACAGCATTTATGCGACGTACTCTTCATAAAGGTCGTAGATTCCTTTAACCTGATTACCTAATCATATCTGCATAAACCTGAAGATATTTATCGGCAATTTACGAAAGTAAGGAAAACCAAAACACTCATTTCACAAATAAATTATCAGAACGATATCTAATATTCTGGGGGAAAAAATGAAAAAGTTTGAACGTGAGGTATCATGAACATAGCACAGTAAATAATAACCGTAATTAACCGCAAGTCCGTAATTTTTCAATCAAATGAGAGATGCTGTATGTATACTTTAGATGTATCCTCCATGGCTAAACATCATTTCATTTGTTTGAGTTAAATTTATTAAAACTTATACGGCTCAATTATTAGCAAAATGTTACGTGACTCAGTGCATGGCTGAATCTTTCAGAGTGGAATAAAAAAATTTTGGAACTTGGAAAATGTTATCCCTGATTTTATATTTCTTTCAGACAGTCATTGACAATGCTTTTGAGAAACGATACGATTTTAATTTTTTCATGTTCTCTCATATACTACTCACTCATCACTCATGAGCTGTAGGTTCTCTGTTTTCTGACACTTACTCCTACTAAGCTATCATCTTAGCTCCATTTGCTCTTAAAAAAAAAAAAAAAAAAAAAAAAAAAAAAAAAAAAAAAAAAAAAAAAAAAAAAATTATCACGGTCGTTATTGTGCCCTGATCAACTTTAACTGTCGTGCTGAAAAAGAACATCGCTGGAGCATTCAAAAGTCGCTTAATTTCTTTCAATGAAATTTTGATTTTTTAGAAAAAAGTTGCAAATATTCTTCTTTGAAATTCTAGGATACACTAGAATAAATCGCGGTTGAACCTTTTTGAGAAATTCAAAGAAGAAAATTCCCTGAATTTGTTTTCTACCGAAAGAAATATGGCAAAATCCGAATGTTCATACGGCGTTTTACCCTAACACAGCAGCTTGCCATTAATATTCGGTTATCAAATGTGGTAATGGATACTCACTGTACAATGAATTCTGATGGTTCTGCACTAAAAGTGTTTTGAGTTGCTGAATATTTGAATCCAGAGTTTCCAGTTTTGAAATCAGTTGGGGCAAGACTGATCCGACACAATTACAAGAACAGCACGAATTTACTTTGGGAGACACAGTCTTTAGCTCCGCCTCTTGCGATAATCCTGAGAGAACAGCACTTACATTCGGCTGAGATACTCTGGCCCGCAAATTCCAGACACCCTAGATAAATTTGAAGTTTATTCTATTAACGGAGCAAGTTAAATCAAGGAAATCTAATATCGCCTGCATTAAGTTTAGCAAAAAATCGTTACTGAGACGTTTAGCCTGTAAAATGTCCTGTCGGTTGTGTAACTAACAGTACATTTCTCTCTGTCGGCTGCGCGTAACTGCCATTCCATTTTACAGCCTGAAAGTCTTGATAATGATGATTAAGAACCTATAGATTTTTGTATGAATCTTATGCACATTTACAAACAGGACGATTTTTAATGGCAATGATTTTCTTTTTCCATTCGAAAATTGTAATCTGTCCAAATCATATGATAAAAAATAAAATAAAATAGAAAAAACTATCTGATATAAAGTTAAGTTTTAGGAATCTTAATTCCGGGAAACTCTCATAACAGCGCATACCTTGGCAGTGCTCATCACAATCCAAGACAGGATATCTATAACGCGAGATAGCGGGCAATATATCGGCCATTTGGGTGGGCTGCTGGATCTTGGAATGATCTCACTGGCAATACGTTTACAGGCCTCTACGATCTGTTGAAAAAATTAGAAGATGCTACAGGAGACCGTGTGCAATGCGGTTTTCAAGATATTTTAAAAATAATGTGAATTTTCAGTCTAAAAGCGATGATGGAGGATAAAAATGAAGATTCGGATGCAACAAAGGATGATATTTTTCTTGTAAAATGTAATGGTACTTTGACCCCTTGTTCACAATAACAACATATCGAAGCACTGTAGCGCGGCGCAGCGCACGATCAAGGGCTCAGGAAAAGACAAAGCGCCTTCAGTATCTCGCGTATGCAACGCGGACATCCGTAGATCACGAATAATCGTATTCAGGCGTTGTGCGATTAAAAGGCAATGGAGCACAAGACATGATGAGGATTAAACCCGTGTAGACATGTTCCCTCGTCAAAATCTCACACGGAACACGTTGAATTTATCGAAATCTTCCAAAATTAACTCATAGGTGAGAAATTAATGTTAGTGGTTACATTTTAAACAGTAAATTCAAACTTTCTGCTCGCGAAGAAACTATTTGAACGTGGGTTGAATCATTGTTCCCCGAATGTAGGAACGTAACTCCATTCCAAGGTTGCAAAATTGACTCAAACAAATAAATTTTTTGCAAGAATGTCTGTGCAATTTTTGTCTAAAATTTGTCCGATTTTTGCGTGAGATCAAAGGAAAAATCAGTGAAATTTTCAGTTAGAAATGCCCAAGATTCTTCTGGTAAAAATGCAATTTGCGATAGGAAATTCGGCAACAATAAGATGCAGTTACGTTCTTTTGTGGGGAAACGACGACCTCAACCGTTGAAAACAACCTATACGCAAGGCAAATAACTAGAGCTTGATTTTACAGTAATTCTCTTCTTAAACTCCTCTCGGAAACAACAACAAAAATCAAAGAAATGTACCTCTGGTACGTTGAACTCGGAGACTGACGTCAAGATGAGTTTTTTTTGGGGTTTTTTGGGTACTGATTCAGACTGTTCCACCTCATTTTGGGAGTCCCCCTGTTTCTCCGAGTTGTGTTGAGGGGGAAAATCCGTAGCGACCGCAACATCTTTTTCCTCTACTTTCTTAGGGGCAATCGACGTTCTCGAATTTTTCTTTATAACAACGCAGGACTTGGAGGACAACACCTCTATCGACTGGTGCTGATCCATGCAGAGGTCTTGCAAGCTCCAATTTTCGAGACAAGAACTAGATCTTGATCCCGCGTAAGAATGCAAGTTGTGCGTCGTTCTGCGATGCCTCTTTAGCGAATTGCCACTATTTATCCTCTTTGACTCTCTCGCTAATATCTTGATACAACGTCTGATCTCTTTCTCGTACAATTTTCGGTCAACGAGGCTTGACGAGGATTCGCTTTCCTTGCAAAAGTCCGAGTCGCTTGATATTGATAATGGGAAGCAGGACTGATTGAAGACTCTAAGGCGTGAGAGAACGTGTGAGCTGGAATATGATGATCTCCTCAAGGGACAGTTCGAATGGTTTAGGAGGTAGGAGTCGGAAAATGGAGAGGTGAAGGGGAAGGAAATAGACAGATTGGAACAGGATTGGTCTGCAACAAGAAGAGTTAAGGTGATTCGATGGACGCTATTTTGAGTCAGAACGGCATGCGATATATCGCATCCATTGGTTCCATTTTTTCAGCTACTTGTCATTTTTCTCCAATTTTGAAATCGCAATTCTGTTGTCAGGAGACTAAAGCAAAGCACTCACTTACCAATTTTAACAAAGAAATTCAACGTAATAAAGGCGTGGTTTTTTTAGAGAGAAAATGTCCCATTCGAATGCAGTTTCGATATCATTATCGAATGCGATGTTTTCTCTCTGAAAAAAACCACGCCTTCACTAGGTTGAATTTCTTTGTTAAAATTGGTAAGTGAGTGCTTTAGCCTCCTGACAACAGAATTGCGATCTCAAAATTTGAGAAAAATGACAAGTAGCTAAAAAAATGGAGCCAATCGATGCGATATATCGCATGCCGTTCTGACACAAAATATGGCGTCCATCGAATCACCTTAAGGATTTTTAGTCGTGAAACGTAGGCGGATCCAAGGGGGGCGTAGGCGGTATAGCACCCCTCCCCCGAAAACAAGGAGAAAGAAAAGGAGAATGAAGGAAAATGGGAGGAACGGAGGAAAGAAGAAGGAAAGACACTTACATTTGGCAATTATTCATGACAAAATTGATTCAATCTTCATAAAAAATGCTTCAAAAATCTTAAAATTCTCTGATGGAGCCCCCGGACCTTTTTTACGCCCCCCTCCTCCCGTTCGAGGTAGGTGTCTAGATCCGCCTATGTCGTGAATGTCCACGGGAAAAGAGATCGCAGACCAAGAGAGATACAATCCTGTAGAGAAATTTTTGCCCATTTCAGGCGAGAAATTGGATTTTGAGTTTTGATTTTGGGATTCTTCGTTATTGATCTAAAGAATAAAGAACCAGTAGTTAAAATCCATAACTTGAAGAAAATTTGAAAGCGTTATTTAATAAATAAAAAAGTGATAAAAACAGTATTTTACATGAAAAAATGTATCAGCAGTGAGAGGGTTCATTTTTTTTTAAAAAAATTAAATTGAGTTTTTATGTTATTCAAAGAAGTGCAACGTGTAGCATTTGGCAAGTGCAGTTTTTTTCCGTACGGAGAAAACTTCATTTGATTGAAAAAAATATTTTGCTGAAGAAACATCTTCCTTAAGTAAAATAAATTTTTCCATAAGTAAACAAACAACTTGAGAAAAAAATATTTAAAACGGATATGATTTTTCCTNGGGGGGGGGGGGGGGAGAGGTTAAAATGAGTATCCTTGATTTCTGAAAAATCCTTCAATTAGATAGTCGATGATATTCTCACCTACATCTCCTAGACCTCGAAGGCGTGGGAGACGGTTGTCTTCACCTGAGTCTGAAGAATCGCTACTTTCATCTTCTTCACTTTCTAATTCCAAAATTGAATGTGCTATGGAGTTTTCGACTTTGTCCAATGTTCTCATCATAGTATAAAGGGTCACTTGTTTTTTACGATGCTGAGTGGTCCTCGGTTTCCTCTTCTTCATTTGATGACCCTGACATGGTGAAATTTATAGGTGTGAGTATTGAGCGGAGTCAAATATTAGTGAATTTTTCTCGATATTCTCGAATAAATGGGGAAAATTATTGCTCTAACAAAACTCTAACGGACCTTCAACGACGAAGAAATCATTTCGACGATAGAATTCCCCGACCACGTATCTCGTTTGCGGTGTTTTAAAATTTCCGCTCCCATTTAATTTTTTTTGTTTTTTGTAGGAGAACAAGTCAACATCATTCCCCGAAGTTTTTACAGAATTTACCTCACACAAATAAGAAAAATCACGGAAATTTTAAAGAATTGGCTTTAAGTGGTGTTCTATTTAAAAAATAAAATATGACAAGAAGTTTGCAACGTCGCAAACCGATATACGTGGTTTGGCAGTTTCACCGTCAATATTTAGTTTTAGGTATTTCGACTTTTCGGTGTATATTAGATTTTAGGTATCCATTGTCGGAGTCTTTTTGAAAAGGCAAAGATAACGAACCAGCTAGAGCGTTGTGAGGGGGTTCCGAGGGGTCCCCCATAAAGCTGGTGTCCCCTTCCCCTCGCAGAGGTTGTGATCATGAAGCCATCCGATACTGTTAAGCCCCCATGAAGGCCCCCTGGCCCCCCTCCTTACAAAATTGTCTAACCATTCGCATGGAAAAGAAAAACATATTTTGTGCTATTATAACGTCAATACGAGAAGAGGGACTGTAAAAAGTGAAAGGAAATCTTCGACGTCGCAAACTGAGATACACATTTTCACCATAGTTATGGCATCGTTGAACTCAAACAATGGCATAATTTCTAAGATATTTCAATAAGACAAAGGCAAACAATTACAATTTAATGGCTATAAGAAACGGATGCAAATTTCAAACTAGATCACAGTATTTCTCCACTAAGTAGTTGACTTAAAAACTCGATTCATCGTTTATTTTTTCTCGCAAGCGACTTTGAATTTCACTACTTAATAAGACATTGACAAAGGAGAGGTTAAGATTTCTGTAAAAAACTTTACCCGAATCATAGCAGCAATGACCTCGTGGATGGAAAGCGAGTGGAGAGAAGAACTAACTCAGGTCGAACTAATTAATTAAATTTACGACAAAAATATTAACTGACTGGGACTCAACAATTATTTTAGGTTGGATCATCTCTAACAAAACCAAAAGAAAAGAAAGGACAAAATTAAAAAAAAAATCATAAAATCAAAATAATAAGGCAACGTTGATCGAGTTTCCCAGTCGTTCCGCGAGAGCGTGTATAGTATCTAGGTGACGTATGTTCGTGTATTTTTTTAGTTTTGTTCTCCCAGTGATCAACTGGTTGTTCTCCCAGTGATCAACTGGAGAGAACTTTCCTTTCACCCTGGGCCGTTTAATCAATGTAAAATCTCGAAAAATCTCGATCGCTAGTGAGATTTTCCTCTGTTCTCTTGTAAAAAATCGCTTGAAAAAGCGATTTTTTGTATGTGTGAGTGCGCTCCCATAAGATCTGATGTAACCGCTTATCGTATTAGTGTGTATTTTACAGGGGTTTTTCGAGACTACCGATGGTCGCTGTTCGATACGTCGAAACGTCGATTCAATTCTAAACCTACCAACCCTTTCCTACAAAATACCCTGTTCCTTCTGAGTTTCCTTAACTTTGCCTTCTTTAACTCCGTTTCTAAATAAACTGTATTAATTATCTGAAGTTCTTTATATCTTAAAGCTTCAATTTCCAA